ACAAGTGTTCCAAAAGAAGATACAAGATTGTTAATGCAGTGTAGAGGGAGAAGACAAGCGACAATAAAAAAAATGAGGGAAATACAAAAAATTGTACACGGCTGGAATCAAAAAGATATTGGGCAGTGCTGTTACGGTGAATTTATTAGTAGTAATAAAAAATAATTACATTCCATTCTTAATTACATGTGTTTATAATAATCAAACATTATCTTCAGACTTGTTAACGTTTATATATCGATAGTTTTTGTTTATAGAGGATACAGTGGAGAAAGTGGCTAATAATGGACAAGGATTAACCTACGGAAAAGTCTTCTTATTCGATGAGTTACTAATAATTTGTAAACCAAAGACAAGAGATGATGTTATAACATATTTTGTTGATGAACATTTTACTTACCAACATGAATTTCAATTGGAGGAGAAACTTTTTATTAGAAAAGTTGATATTATTGATAGAAAAGACATCGAAGGTAAAAAATGTTTATTTAAATTTTACTGCCATATCGTTGTAAATTTTCGTGCAATGCAAATGCATAATATTTATTTACAGAGTTAAAAAATGCTTTTGAAATTCATCGAGAGAACATCCTAGTGTTATTCTTATTGCTAAATCTATTGAGGATAAAAACAATTGGATGGTGGATTTAATGATGTTAAAATCAAGAAGTATGTTAGAAAATACTTTGGATAGTATTCTTTTGGAAGAAGAAAAGAAATATCCATTAAGGCTACCTCCTGCGCATTTGTATAAATTTGTTGAACAAGATAGCGAGGGGAACATTATTCTAAAGACCATAGAAAATAATGTCCCATTGATTAAGGGTGCAACTTTGATAAAATTAGTAGAGAGATTGACTTATCATGTATATAGTGATCCAACTTTTATAAAGGCATTCCTTACTACTTACAGGTAAAGAACTGCATTGCATATTGTAATAATTTCTTATAAATACATATAACTTATTCGATATATATATATATATATATATATATATATATATATATATATATATAACAAATTGCTAATTTTTAATAATTTATTTTATAGAAGTTTTTGCTGACCTCAAGCATTATTGACATTATTGATAGAAAGATTTAATATACCAGATCCTTCGTTGTTTTATGGTAAAAAAGAAACATCTGTACGTAAAACGACGGAGAGAGAGGATTGGAAAAGATACAAAATAGAGTTCTGTCATCCGGTGCAGTTTAGAGTTTTAAATGTTTTAAGACATTGGGTTAGTAATACATATATATTCTTCCCATTTTTCATGAATTTTACGCAATATTTAAAACACTGTTTTTTCTAAAGTACTTACTGTTTTTGATTAGATGGATTATCATTTTTACGATTTTGAACGTGATGGAAAACTTTTAGAAACATTGCAATCATTTTTAGAAACGATTAATAACACTTCTGTACAGAAATGGGTTAATTTATAATTAAAAATTGTAGAAAGAAAGCGCGAATCATCAAAACCTATCACATTACATCTTAAGAATCATCCTCCACCAATTGAATCGCATCTTAAAATTCCAGAAAATAATGAAGATTATGAAATACTTACGGTATATAATATTTTTTAACGTTGTGATTTCTTTAAGGAAAGTTATCAGTCACTAAATCATTCATACTGAGAAATAAATTGTCGATTATAGATACATCTTGTTGAATTAGCGAGACAATTAACATTATTGGAGTTTCAATTGTACAGTGCAGTAAAGTCTTTTGAGTTAGTGGGATGTGTATGGACAAAGGATGACAAAAACGAAAGGTCACCGAATTTATTGAAAATGATAAGACACACGACAAATGTAGGCTTTTGTGTTTCAAATCATCACGAAAGTATATCAAATTTTGCAATAATTTGGATTTTTATATTGCATTTTTATAGTTTACAAGATGGCTGCAGAAAATAATAGTAGAGGCTCAAAATTTTGAAGAGAGAGTATCCATTGTGTCACGTGCAATCGAAATAATGATGGTGCTTCAAGATCTCAATAATATTAATGGCGTTCTGGCGATTGTCGGTACTTTGGATTCTGCTCCAGTTTTTAGGCTAAAATTTACGTTTCAAGTATGTATAATAAGCAAAAAAAGTTTCACACTTTGTGCGAAATTTGCAAAATTTGGAAAACACTTAAGAATCAAGTATGTTTGATTCATATACATACATGTATACGCTTATATATTTATTAAAATTCTTCTATGTCAAACCATTCTCTCTTTAACATGTTTATTTTTATAGCAATTATCAGTAGAAATACAAACGGCTTTAACAGAAGCGCGACAGTTTAATAACAATTACATTCGGAATTATAAAGTAATGTTACAATCGATTAATTCACCTTGTGTACCATTCTTAGGTAAGTATCACAAATTGACAATGATTATGAAAAGATTTAAATCTTTTTTTTATGCATTCTTAAGTATATATTTGACTAATATTCTGCATATTGAAGAAGGAAATCCAGATTACTTACCGGAAAACACGGACCTTATCAATTTTAATAAATGGGAAAAAATGGCAGAAATAATTGGTGAAATACAGTTGTAGCAAAATGATCCTTATTGTCTTTCTGTGGAGTCTAAAATAAGACAATATATTGAAAATATGGGTCCTTTTGATCCTAATATGTCAGATGAAAGTATAGACACTTATCTGTATAACGAAAGTTTAAAGATAGAGCCAAGTGGATGTGAAGCACCTATATATTTCGTAAATGTTCTATATATTTAATTCGTTAGAAATAATTTTTTTCTTTTTTAGTTCTTTTTTCAAATAATATTGTTCTCACAGCCGCGCAAATGGTCTGAGATAAATTTAACATCACCGTATGCTACATATAGATATCATAATTTGTGGTGGCGTCTATCGAAGGAATTTTCTTGTCTAGGAACATCGTCAATTAATGTTGAGATGGGCTTAGGTATGCATCAATGCTTACTGCGATTTAACAATGATTACGACTGTAAATCTTTTCTCATGCATTGTAGAATCTTGTGAGCTTTTATCTGCAGGATCATCTAGTCTGTCATTATATGAAAGTTCCAGTACAATGCCAACGCAGCCACTTTCTGCACGACTTTGCGCATCTCCATCATCAGGAAAAAGAAAAAGAGCACGATTCATTGGATGAATCATTGCAACAAGTAAGATTCCAAGATTAATTAAAATTTTCTTATTTAATCGAATGAGTTTTCGCATAAAACATCTATCATTAATTCAATATTGAAGTATCCTTATAATGCACATTTAAATATTTTTTCTGTAATAACATTTTTAAATGTAATCAAGTTATTTTTATTTAGCATTTGTCAAACATGATTTTATATCATTTTACAATATATATATTACATGGTAATATATTATATAGTATTAAAGTCTTTGATAAATATGTATATATATTAATTCTGCATCAAATTTATCAAAGATATTTTGATATTGCATTAAAGATAGATATTTCTGCATCGCAATATATATTAAAATTAATCATTATACATATGTACAACAGAGAAAATCTAAGAAATTTATTTTCAAATGTATAGGCAAGACAAACATAGCAATTCCTTCATCAAGAGATAATACATCATTCTTTCAAAATACTCAGGACGAGTATTTACACTTACAACAGAACGATGTTGCTAGCTCAATACAATCTGTTTCCACTGTCTCCTCTGATATCAAGGAGTTATTGATTAAAATTTCATCCGATATGGGTAAAATATTATCCGAGATGGATAAAATGTCATCCGAAATAGATATGATCAAGAATAAACTTGATGATATAGAAGACAAGGTCGAATTATCGAATATTCTTATCAGTACAGTCATATAACTTTGAGAATCCAGATTAATGCAAGAATATAGATGATGCATTCTATGTTAGTCAGTTTTCAATCGGTTTGATAATATATCCGATAACATAGGTATGCGAGGTTTTTCTTTTTAAGATGAACAGTGATTTCCAACGTAATTTTGTGAGCTGAATTCGAATCTGACCGCCGAATTTGTGTACACGTCACGTTTTTGAGTAATTTGTAATTGAATGGCTCAAAAATCGCTATTATGGTCAATTTCATGAATTTATTGCGAGGAAACCAAATTTTAGTCATAAGACTGATCATGCATAGGGATCTAATAAGATCCATTCTAAATCAACCATGCCACCTCTTTATTTCACTACGAATCAAAATTAAGATAAAAATATACATTTTTAAACCTTCTGTCACCTTTTGAGAAATGATGCATTCAATATGACGAATAGAATCACAATAAAAAGGCATAAAATTTAGAAAAATTTATCAAAATGTGTAACAACTGTATTAGATATTTCTTTACAATACTTTTTTGGACAACCGAACCTGACATATGTCAGTCTTTTCAACTTTCAACATCATGGATCTACCATATTGATGTCTATATAAATTTTCTTTAACGTAAATTTTCTTACAACGTCATACTTATATATCTCAGCGAAGAAAAATCGTGCGGCTGTAATCGAAAGTGGATTTGAAAGATAAAGGTGAGTACTATAGGATGCCATTGACAGAAATATTTCAAAAAATTTGGTTTACTCACAATAAATTCATGAAATTGGCCAAAATAGCGATTTTTGGGCTATTCAACTATAAATAACTCAAAAACCTGACATGCTACTTAAATTCGGCGGCCAGATTCGGATTCAGCGTACAAAATTACGTCAAAAATTACTATTGCATCTTATACAGAAATTTTGACTCCCTTTTTTGCAGGCCTATGTAATTATCGCTTTATATCTGCAAAATTTTCTACTCTTGAATGCCAGTATGTAATCATCAGCATAATCTTTTTTCTCAGAAAAAAGCGTCTGACTGTACATTAAATTTAACGATTACCTAATTCTTTTCTCTCTAAATTATACGCTATTAAGCTTTGTTTACATAATATTACATACTTAGGGTTGGTTTTATTATATGTATGTTTCGGAGATTAAAATGAACATATAAAACAGAATAATGTGGATATTCGTCGATATATTCGTAATATCATATCATTCATCCTTCTTGCGCAGATAATTAATACGCCAACTCAGTAACAGCGAATCTCTTATTGATCTTCTATTATCATTAGATATTTACATCATTAAATTTAAAGTATGCAACGCTATTAATATTAATGAATTGTACCATCTATGCATGCTTAAACATAGTGAGATCGTGTCATCAAGCAAATTTATCTCTCACACGAAATCTTAAAATTAATGCAATACCCGGCATCTTTTTGTAGAAAAGCCAGATGAACTGTCTATAAATATAGAATCTCTAATCTCGATGGCAAGTTTCATTTTGATATTTCATAGACTTACTCCGTTCGTTTATAAACCATCTCCGTCTTAATAACTGACATACGAATTTACTTATTTGTCATAAAAATTGCGCCTTAAATATAAGAATTTTTCACTTTTTATTCGATTGATATAAAAATTTATAGAATCGGTGATAAAAATTTACAGAATATGATCACTATTATTGCAATTCGGCACGAGAAGCGATCAATTAATCAATTTTTCTTCACATTTTTTTAATAATTTTCGGAGAACACGTTTCTTTTGGCGGCCTGCTTTTTGCAGCGTGCTCCATTTTCGTATTCCTCCATTTTTTCAATATATATACATATATATTACATGCATACATATTTATTCATATAACATTATAAATATATTCTCTATGTAATAACAATTGTAACGATTTCTAAAATAGTATACGATAATTTTTTCTAAAATAAAAAAATATATTGTGTAAAATATTTTCTGATAATCTTATTCTTACGTGTGAAGAAATGCCCGCCGTAATAACTAAAGAATAGAACGTCGGAAACATGTCAGTTTATTATATGGAATTTGAATTATAAACTATTTGGGAATGAGAGGAATATAGCACATTTGGCTTTATCTTTTTCCTTATTATTTTCACACATAGTCGAGCATTATGAAAATGGATATTATATACTGTCAACGCTCCTTTCCTCTTTTTCTGATTATTACTAAGGGACTTCCCATACCGTAGAGCTATCGCTGCGCTTGCTATGCCTAACATCACCGTGAACATCTAAAACGTCGCTCAGTTTGCTGAATCGTCTGGCCCAGCTTCCTCTACCGATGCTACCGGCTTCTCTCAAAACCGAAATCAAATCATCCTCGTCCTCCTTTCCCTTGATCTCTTTCTCGTATTTTTCTTCTTGCGCGATCAACCGTTCGCGTCGTAACTGAGTCGACAAAGAATGCGGTACAGCCGGAATAACGTAGCTCATAATACCAGTGAGTGCGAAAACCTGTAAAATAAAAATTTTTGCATCGCTTCGTTATCGAAAGAAACACATCTATCGCGTACTTACAACGTGCTCGAAGACAACGACGAAGGCCAAGCGTGCGGCGAAGACGTGCCAATATTGCGGACTGAGACCGTAAGGTTCGTTGGGATCTTCCGGACCGTTTCTGTAACCTCTGTATTGACATGTCTCCGGATGTTCGTCCTCCACGTCGCTTTTCATATCCTCGCGATAATCGGAAGTATTGAATTCAGATAGAGAACTATCTATGTAACCCACTAGATCTTCAGTAGGCGAGTAAACGAACGCGTATACACTTCGTGGAATAAAATCGGAGGTATACGCGATTACAAAGGCCTAAAAATATATTTATATACATTCGTTATATTATATATTTAATAAACATATATTTAATAAACATATATTTAATAAACACATATTTAATAAATTATTATGTGTTATGTAGATTATACAGTGTGATTTATTTTAATCTTAACAGGCAAATATTTTGAAAAATATGCGAGACACGAAAAAATGTTTCAGACAAAAGTTATATGGTTCTAAAGGAGACATAAGATGATGTAATTAATTTGACCTTAAATAGTTACTTGAAAGTCACGTAAAAATCACTCTCAATTTTTTAAATAGAACCCCCTATTTTTTATTATATATTCTTGTAGCTTATCTCGAGAGCTTTCCAAAATACTATAATTAAGTTAGTTTTCATTAAGTACTTTCCGAGTTATGAGGCTTGAAATCGTTTCTTAATTTTACATAAACCGTAAAATATCTTGTAAAATATTCATTTTTTGATTATCTTACCTTAATACTTTTATGTGCACAATAATGAGAAAAATTAATTGGTGTAAAGAAAACACATAATTATTTTTAAGAAAAAATATGTAATTGTTAATTGCAAATTACATATTTTTTTTTAAACAACAGTTTATGTAAAATTAAGAAACGATTTCAAGCCTTATAACTCAGAAAGTACTTAATACAAACTAACTTAATTATAGTGTTTTGGAAAGCTCTCGAGATAAGTTACAAGAATATGTAATAAAAAATAGGGAATTCCATTTAAAAAATTGAGGATAATTTTTACGTGACTTTCAAGTAACTATTTAAGGTCAAATTAACCATCTTAACACCATCTTATCATAACACCATCTTATGTCTCCTTTAGAACCATATAACTTTTGTCTGAAACATTTTCTCGTATCTCGCATATTTTTCAAAATATTTGCCTGTTAAGATTAAAATAAATCACCCAATATGTAACATATATGTTTAAATATAGAAGGTTTTTCAAAGTTGAAATGTTTTAACTTAAAATATAAATTCGAATCTTTAAAATGACAAAAAACCTACACATATTTGAAGAGATTTTAAATATATGTAAAAAATGTACTATGATAATAATTATCATATTATGGTATATTATGGTATAATTTATTATGGTATAAATTAATAGTGTTTCTTTATTTCTTATATTTTATTATTAAAATATACGAAAATTCAAACAAAATTATAAATTATAAATTTAAAACGATTGTAAATAAATATAATTAATGAATAAAATAACAGATAAGTAGATGAAATAATAAATGATAATAATGAATTATATTATGAAATAATGAATTATAAATTTTATTTAAAATAATGACAAATAGATATAAATAATAGATGAATAATTAACAGAAAATGATTATAAATTTTGTACAAAATTTCGTTCAAAATGCAGGCAATTAAAGACAAGTGATGAATTTATTTGTGTGTGTATGTATATATTTTGCAATTTTGAAAACTTGATAAATTTGAAAGCTCTCTTTTGCATGATTTATATACAATTCCAGAAATTTTTCTACGTACATTCGATACGACTGCTACATAAGTAACACCTCTGAGAATGCCGAACCAGGCGCCGATATCCTCTACTCGTTCGGCCAACGGTCGTCGAGCCTCCTTTACCATTTTGTATGCATCCAGTCTTATCTCGGCGATATTATTTAATAAAGCGAATAGTGGTGCCAACGGAAATGCTGCCACGAATAACGTTACAAATCCATATTGCAAAACTACAAATAGAAAGCAGGACGAAATATTTACAAAAAATTTTTTCTCCGTAAAATATACGTGTATAGAATATTTCAAAACAATCAGATTTCCTTTTAATTGCACAGACGGATTTTTTGATCAAAGTTTAAAGAGTTAGTTTTTTTTCAGTGAAAAAGCAAATCACTTTTTTATTTTTCTTACAAGTTTTCAATTTTTTCCATCGTAATTAAGCTACAAATTAGAGATTCTACTTGAAATCAAACAATCTATTCTACTTGATTAATTCTACTTGAAATCAACTAAAAAAATGTAGTTTTCTATACTTTTTGATTTCGTAAAATTTAATTTATGAATAATTTTTTTTCGCGATCGATTCATTTTGAAATTATTGATGACGCTTGTCATCTTCAAATAGAAGAAAAATCTGTGTTCTAGAAAAACTTGTTATTAAATCTGTGTTCTAGAGAAACTTGTTATTAAAAGAACATTTAGTTTTAGGACATTTTGTAGCATGTGTGCGTGCGCGCAAGAATAATTATACTTACTCATTTCTAAATATTCCTCGAACAAGGCTAATCTCCCCGGATCTTGAAGCTGATAATCCTTCTCCCAACAAGTGTATCTTCTGTCGTGATTCTTCGTCGCCGCCACTTGTGTCCTTTTGCGCCACCAGTTCCATAATTTCGGTGACAGGATCTCGACAAAATTATTGAAGCATTGCTTGCCGACCATTATAATCGCAAGTTGGATACAGACCTCCGAGAGGCAACCAGCGGGATCGCATACGTCTGTCTTGATGCGATAAAATTCCGAGGCTCTCGCGTCCGCGTCGCCAGGATGAACGAAAAATCTTCCCTGAAAATTGAGATCATAATGGACATAAGTTTTGAGGAGTTTTCAGCGCATGTGTCAAAGTTATTGTATTTATATATATTTTACTTTGAAAAAAGCGATGTAAATCAGAGAGGAATAAAAATTGACGAATTCGAATAGAAAGATTTTGAACGTATAGCTGGCCTCGTATTCCGTCTGCGTTCTCGGATTCTCCATATTGACCATCCACCGTGCCAATCGATGATATATTCGCGTGAGTATCATTATTATAACCAGATTAATAAGCGCGGCAGTCATGGAGGTGAATATTTTTGCGTGTCTCTTTAGGAAAGAGCCACCCCCGCCGTAAAAGACGGCGACCAGCGAGATGCGGTATACGATTGTCCCTAAGACCGCTCCAAGAACTACGCATATCTATAATAAAGGCAAAGGAAGGGATGGTATACAATCCTTCAATTATTTAATGAGACAGTGAAAAAAACGCGCTGAAATACATGTAATATAATTACCATGAAGAATACTATCGAGCCTGTGGCCAAAAATCGTACGGCTTTAGACCAAGCAGGTAAATATGGTTCTCTTTCCTTCGTCACGGGATTTATTCGGAACGTTTTAACGGACGCCTCAAATTCGGGTCTGGGCTCTTCGTCGTAATCCGCATTCTGAAGATCCCATTCCCAAACAATCACAGCTTGTCGTCGTTTCCAAAGCTCGAGAAACGTAGTAGCTGCTTTGTGTCAAGAAAATATATTATATATACAGGGTGTCCCATTTTAATCCATCCAATCAAATATCTCGAAAACCAAGCTTGAAAGAGAAAAATGTTTCAGACAAAAGTTGTATGGTTTCTAGGGGGACATAAGATGGTACCATTGGTTTGACCTTGAAGAGTTATTTGAAGGTCACATGAAGGTCACCTTCAATTTCTTAAATGGAATCTACATTTTCTCATTACATATTCTTGTAGGTTATCTCGAGAGCTTTCCAAAACACTATAATAAAATATTTTTTTATTGAGTACTTTTCGAGTTATGAGGCTTGAAATCATTTCTTAATTTAACATAAACCGTAATATATCTAGTAAAATATTCATTTTTCGATTATCTTGCTTTAATACTTTTATGTACAAAATAATGAGAGAAATCAATGGTGTAAAAAAAACTCATAGTTGTTTCAAAGAAAAAATATGTAATTGTTAATTGCAAATTACATATTTTTTCTTAAAAATAACTATATGTTTTCTTTACACCAATTGATTCCTCTCATTATTTTGTACATAAAAGTATTAAAGCAACATAATTGAAAAATGAATATTTTACTAGATATATTACGGTTTATGTTAAATTAAGAAATGATTTCAAGCTTCATAATTCGAAAAGTACTCAATAAAAAAATATTTTATTATAGTGTTTTGGAAAGCTCTCGAGATAAGCTACAAGAATATGTAATGAGAAAATGTAGATTCCATTTAAGAAATTAAAGGTGACCTTCATGTGACCTTCAAATAACTCTTCAAGGTCAAACCAATGGTACCATCTTATGTCCCCCTAGAAACCATATAACTTTTGTCTGAAACATTTTTCTCTTTCAAGCTTGGTTTTCGAGATATTCGATTGGATGGATTAAAATGGGACACCCTGTATATATATATATATATATATATATATATATATATGTATATTAAAATATTATATATATATATATATATATATGTATATATATACAGGGTGTCCCAAAACTCATAATCAATCTTTCAAAGACAGATTCCTAGGATCATCTAAAGACGATTTTTCCTCAACGAAAATGTCGAGTCACTAATAATTTTTGAATTATAAGTGATTGGAAATAAGGGATTTTTCGTAAACTAACCTTTGCAGAAATAAAATATTAACAAAACCATATTCTTCGATTAATTTTAAATAGAGTTTACTTTAGTTGAGTTTTAATTTAAGACTTAATTGCAAAGATATATGATGACAAAAATCGGGAACATGCAAAAAATGATGGCCTTCATCGACGTTTTCGCTGAGGAAAAATTTTCTCCAAATGATCCCAGGAATCTGTCTTTAAAAGATTGATTATGTGTTTTGGAACACTCTGTATATATATATATATATATATATATATATATATATATATATATATACAGGGTGAGGCATCTAAAACAGGCCATCTGAATAACTCCGTTGGTAAGCCGAATATAAAAAAATTGTTCAGACAAAAGTTGTATGGTTTCAAGGGGGACATATGATGGTGTCATTAGTTTAATCTTGAAGAGCCACCCGAAGGTCACGTGAAGGTCAGCTCCAACTTTTTAAATGGGACACCTTATATGCTTTTGCATATTCTTGTAGCTCATCTCAAGAGCTTTCCAAAACACTACAATTATGTCAGTTTTCATTAAATACTTTCCAAGTTATGAGGCTTGAAATCATTTTTTAATTTTACATAAACCGTAAAATATCTTGTAAAATATTCATTTTTCGATTATTTTACCTTAATACTTTTATGTACAAAATAATGAGAAGAATCAATTGGTGTAAAGAAAACACATAATTGCTTCGAACAAAAAAATGTAATTTGCAATTAACAATTACATTTTTTTGTTCGAAGCAATTATGTGTTTTCTTTACACCAATTGATTCTTCTCATTATTTTGTACATAAAAGTATTAAGGTAAAATAATCGAAAAATGAATATTTTACAAGATATTTTACGGTTTATGTAAAATTAAAAAATGATTTCAAGCCTCATAACTTGGAAAGTATTTAATGAAAACTAACATAATTGTAGTGGTTTGGAAAGCTCTTGAGATGAGCTACAAAAATATGCAAAAGCATATAAGGTGTCCCATTTAAAAAGTTGGAGCTGACCTTCACGTGACCTTCGGGTGGCTCTTCAAGATTAAACTAATGACACCATCATATGTCCCCCTTGAAACCATACAACTTTTGTCTGAACAATTTTTTTGTATTCGGCTTACCAACGGAGTTATTCAGGTGGCCTGTTTTAGATGCCTCACCCTGTATATATATATTCTTTAAAAATATATTTTTCTTTAAAAATGTAAAAAGGTCCAACGTAGGAATAATATATTCTGGCTTTATTGTAATATTATTTTTATCATTTTTTTCTTGGCAAACTATGGACAAAACGTATAAAAAAGAAGATTATATTTGATTGAGATATTTTTACATAAAGCCCGAAGAAAAGTACCTCTTTCAATATTTAAAAAAAATCTAATCTAAATCTAATCTAAGTTAAAAATAATTAAAATATTTCAATTAATAAAAAATTGATAGAATTATTAATTGTTTAATAAAGTAAATATTTGTAAATTTCTCAATTAAATAAAATCTAATAAAATCTGTTCATCATAGGTATTTCATATTGATTTAAACTGGTTTCACCTTATATTAAAACATTAATGATATTTTATATTTTTATATTAAATTACATTACATTATATTAAAACATTAAAATAAATTACACAGATACATATGCATAGAATAGAGAAGAGAAAATGTTTTCTCCTTTTTCTCGAATCTTACCCCAAAAGGACATAAAAATGGCGAAGAAGACAGTGGCAGGATTATCGAATAAATAAGTCAGCTTCGAAAATATACAGGAATCGCCAAGCTTCTGATAGGTACACGCTTTATCACAAAGAGGACATAGAGTGATATTTCCTGAAAAATTGCGATTGCATAAAATTACAAGTATTGTTTAAACCGTTAAAATATCATGATAAAATGTGATTTTTTTCCTATCATTTTATTGCGAGATTCGAGGCAAATAATGTACATAAAGAAATTTACCAGCTAAATTAGAGTCGCAAATTTCTTTGCTGGGTACATTGTCTTCGCCCTCCATGCTCCCAAGGCCATAAAAGAAACACAAAAGTCCCACCACTGCCGGCGGATATAAGCATTTCGTGTAAAATCCTAACCACGCGAAGTAAAGAGCAACTTTCTCGCCGAAATATCGCCTTATCAACCATAACGGCTGTTTCTTATACCTTATATTAAAAATAAACATAATTAATTTCAATGCTACGTCGAATACTTAAAGTAATATAATCATGTATATAAATTACCATGTGTATAATATTACCATTGCGAGGGTCTTGCCCATATTAAATACAACAGATATCTATCGAGAATTTCTCCATTGCACGTAGGTTTATTGTAAGGGCCCTCGTGCAATGAGAAGCAATCGAGATACGTTCCATCCGCTAGAAGCCTACGAATACCAGATTTCTCGTGGTTCTCGTCATATCTCGTTCGCAACAATATTTGCATAACTATCAATGATCTTTGAGCAGGTGTATAAGCATTGTCTCTCTCCTTTACGATAAACCTTCAACATTATATTAAATTGAAAAATTATATTAAAAAATTATATTAAATTCAAAAACTTAATAGCGATAATAATATTTTTTTAATCAACATTTTTTATTTCGCGTAGTATTTATACAGGATGTTCCAAAATCGGATGTCATTTTAATAACAGATTCTTTTATTAATTTGAAGATGATTTTTTTTCTCAGCCAAAATGTCGAAGACAAAATCATCATTTTTTGTAAACTTTTCATTTTTGCCATTATATCTTTGTAACTAATTGTAAGCCTTTGAATTAAAATTCTATTTAAAAAAATTAAAAAGTAAAAATTAAAGAAAGAAGAAAAATTGTTCCCAAATTGGCCAAAGATTCTGTTTTTGAAAGGACATTCAATAATTTTAGAACATCTTACAGGATGAGCCACTTTCCGTCCATTCAAATATCTCTAATCCTGTAAGTTTTAGAAGAAAACTTTTTGGAAAAAAGTTGTTTGGTTCTGAGAGGGACAGAATATAGGAATATTACTTATTGTTAGACCTTGGGTGGCGTTGTTAAGATATATCAAGATCATATTGAATTTTTTAAGCTGAAACCCTTATTTTTTATTACATATTCTTGTAGCTTATCTCAAGAGCTTTCCACTTAATAAAGTATTTTTTCATTGAATACTTTTCGAGTTATAAGGCTTAAAATAATATCTTAATTTTACATAAACCATAAAATATCTAGTAAAATATTCATTTTTTGATTATCTATCTTAATACTTTTATGTACAAAATAATGAGAAAAATCAAATTGGTGTAAAGAAAACACATTGTTTCAAAGAAAAAATATGTAATTTGTAATTAACAATTACATACTTTTTCTTAAAAATAATTATGTGTTTTCTTTACACCATTCCTCTCATTATTTTGTACATAAAAATATTAAGATAAGATAATCAAAAAATGAATATTTTACTAGATATTTTATGGTTTATGTAATTCACTCAAAAAAATGTTTTGCTAATGTAGGTAGATTTCTAGATGTCGCAACCAAAATTTATCTCTATTTTTTGTATCTGATAGAATATCGTTTGTCACAGCTAGAATTTATAGCAGTAACATTCTAGCAATATCTGCTAGAAAATTTAGGATTATATATTCATTTGTTTTTACTGCTAGTATTTTCTGTGTACTACAGCCAAACTTTATAACAAGTATGGATTGATCATAACATGGATAGACGCCACAAAAAAACTTTCTTTCTAAATTTCACAAACAGTTCAGATATAAATTCTGTATCTGTCATTTAGATTGATTACGTGCAACATATATACGATATTACAATATTTGCTAATCGTTTATCTGCCTCAGTTAATTTTTCGCACCTAGAAAATTTTTGCTATAGTTGCAAGATCATTTTTTTGAGTGAAAATTAAGATATTATTTTAAGCCTCATAATTCAAAAAGTACTCAATAAAAAAATATGTTATTATAATGTTTTGGAAAGCTCTTAAGATAAACTACAAAAGTATATAATAAAAAATAGGAGTTTTAATTTAAAAAATTCAATGTGACCTTAACAACGCCACCCAAGGTCTAACTAATATTCCTATCTTCTGTCTCCCTCAGAATCAAACAACTTTTTTCTAAAAAGTTTTCTTCTAAAACTTACAGGTTTGGAGATATTTGAGTGGACGTATTAAAATAGCCCATCCTGTATATATATTACCTTTCCTCGAGATCGCCGGAATCTATATAATCGTAAAAGTTCGGTTCTTCGGGATACTTTGTGGTGTCCCAAGTATGTATTTTACGTGCCCACTGAACCCATCGCCTCCATCTCTCCATAAATTTCGATGTTTCTTTGGCACCGTCTGTATCCTATTTTCAAAAAATTCGGGCATCATATTTATAATACGAAATATAACACGAATGTTTAGTTTTAGAAGAGACGTACCCAAGTCTTCACAGGAATGGTTTTAAATCTTTTTGTGGGTAGTTTCAAGCTCATTACTTCCGCATATTGCACCTTTATTTTCCAAGGTATATGCAATTTTAGAAAATATGTTTTCCCATCGAATGAATTCTCCTTTGGCTCCAGCTCCAGTTGCAAACCTTCCTTCAAAAGATTCTGTTGAAATACTCGCCTGTGTTCTCGACGACGAGCTTCTATTTCGGTCATGACTCCTTCATTTTCTTCCTGGTAGACCAATACCATATCGATTCTTCGATGACCGTCGCTAAAATTATCATATTGAGTTCAATCAGCAAATAATGTCGACATATTCAATGAGAAACATGGTAAAAATATATAGAAAAATACACTACAATAAATTTTTGAATTATACAGGTTTCTTGAATTTGTAGAACAAAGTTGTATATTTTTTTATTTATAAAAATAAAATAATTTTGAAAGAGACAACTTTCTCTTTATTTTTCAATGTTTACATTTTTATTAGATATTTTCATTAAAAAAAGACAAACTATAAAAAAATCAGTATTCATAATATATAAAATTTATTTAAAAATCTCTAAACGCATTTAGAATAAACTATTATAAAAAATATTTATCGTTATTTATAGATTATGTAATTTGTCAAAAAAAAATTTAGAAAAAATTGTGCAAAACTGCAAGAAGCTTAATGGAAATCGATTTAATACATAAGTAACAAATGAATGAATAGATTTCTGATAAACTGAATAAGCAAGATAAATTCTGATATTTAATTGTTGAAAAATACAAATATAACGTTTTAGAGGAAGAAAAAGAAAGGAAATCTTATTAATAAAATAATAATAAATATTAATAAATTAATAATGAATTATTGATAATAATTAATAATGAATTAATAATTAATAATATTAATAAATTAATAATAAATATTAATCTATATTAACCTTGATACCCCTCTTTCAACTAAGAAATCGTTTCGAAAAATGACTCAATCTAATAATAACTCTTTTTCACGTCCGCGTATGCTTTTAAATTAAGGACACCTAAAAATAAAAGAGACTCAGAAATAAATTCCACTTTCCACATTCTCTACACTTGTGTTATTCGCTTATATGTTCGCACAACGATAGAAGAATGATAAGACAATGGCTGACGTTCCTCCGGAGAATCGTATTAGCTTGATATAATGGAAAAAGATGCCTACATGTCCGTCTCTATATGTACTTATACATTCGAGAGCTTCATAAAGAAGATCTAAAATAACTCGTGACATTTGTGACCACGAAGGATAATTACTTACCGAAAATAAAGTGTTTCGGAATCGATTCCCGCGTCCGTTTCTTTCGTCGGCAATGAATTCCCGATGGTCTCGGCGAAATCCGGCGAAACTGGTGTATCCGGTAACGAGGGGTTGATTTCCGGAGTAGCAGGTGCCGTGAGTTTAGGACCTTGCCCAATTCAAACAGAATTACCATAATCTTGTGCACAATTCTTTTTAAATTAATTTAATTATCATCATCTTCTTTATTACGCTAATAAAAATGTAACAAATTAATTGACTAATAACTTAACAAATTAATTAAATGTAAAAATTTAACAAATTATTACAAAAAGATATTCGTAGCCTCTTAATCATCCATTTCATATGTTTCGTATTTTTTAAAATAAAAGTTATAAGATTCTTTTCACTTTTAATTTTATTTCTATTTCTAATTCCTCTACTTTCATTATCCCAAATTTGTTGTTCCTCAATAAAGTTTATATCAACTGAAAAAGTTTAACACAATTCAATATATATTTTTGTTTTACGTAATGTGTGTATGTGTGACAAAAGATTTCAATAAAAATTTTTTCTAAAATAGTATTAATATTTAAAATCAACAAATTTGAAAAAAATATAAATTCGTAAAAATATAAATTTTCGAAAAAAATATAAATTTAAATATAAAATTCGAAAGAAATTAATTGCAGAATTACAAGAAATATGAATTCCTTGTAATTCTGCAACTATATATGAATAAAAATGTTATAATTTTATTTATTGACAACAATCGATATTTATCATTATTAAATATGGATCAGAACCTGTTGTACCAATCGTAAAATTTTTTATAAATTTTATGTTATTTCTCGTATTATCTAAAAAAAAATATGAATAAAATTATTTATTAGAGACAATATTAAAAGGTATATATGGAAGAATTAGGTTCTTCGATAATTAAAGGTCTTTCTCACTAATACATAATATTGTAAAAAGCTTTTTTTTAATGTTTCTTATTTTAAAGTTACTAATATTTGCAAATACGGAGTGTATTTTTCAAAAGCGGAAAAAAATTAAAAGCACAAAGTTAAAGTGCTTACATAGGACGCTTTCCTATAATACCACGAGCCAAGTCTTAAACGTTGCATTATTAATATCCGATATTCGTGACACGCTGACATTCGTACGTATATTGATCGTGGTTTACTGACATAGCTTTATTGCTGTTATGGACATTAGTTGCGCGTTTCTACGAGTATTTCATTTTTTTTATTCTTTTTATATACTCGTAGATCGTATCGCGCTACATTTAGCAAATTCTACAGCTATTAAAGCGCGAAACAAATGGACACCGGGGCTAAAATTAGTTTGCATTACCGTGGAATTTTTAAAGAACACGTGAAAACTGGAAAATGTTATGATATATGTGTGTGCTAAACCGAGTATAGACACGTGTTGACCTTATATAAAGAACCTTGAGATAAGGTTTTACACAGAATGATTCTTAAGTACGTTCCAAAAATAAAAGAAGTAATTTTGTAAATGTTTTTATGAAGAAAATTTATTTTTTTGTCAAAAATTTTTCTAGTCAAAAATCAGTCAAATCTGTCAATAATCAACTTATATACCACTAATCAGAATATACCAGAATTTTTCATCCCTAAAAGTTAGCACATTACTAACACTTAATAAATTTCAAGAAAATAATTGGAATCTTTGAAATTTAAAAAAAAATGTATTTTTCTGTTCGAACATCCCTTCCGAAATAAGTCATTTATGACAAAAATGTACATAAGCTTTTTTTTATAATCATTTTTTTTTCTTAATTATCCAAGGAATTACTTCTTTAATTTTCGGAATCTATAACTAATAAAATCACTGTAATCAATTTAATATTAATATATATATAAAATAATAATAATAATAATAATAATAATAATAATAATAATAATAATAATAATAATAATAATAATATCAAAAAATTATTGAATTAAAATTTGTAGATCCTCTACTAAATGTTAAATTTAATAAAAATATTTAATAAATTATCTGAAATAAATCTGTAATAAAATATCTATAATAAATTACAGATAAATTTATAATACATTCTCTTTGTAAAAATTTGTAATATATTCTCTTTGTAAAAATTAAATCTTCTAATTTTCATTTGTTTTGCGTTTCAGTTCGTCGTTGAATTCAATTCTCACCGAAAGCATCCTGCGCAATCAGAGTCGTTCCAGACGGATGAACCACGCTGGCTCTCGATAATTTTCTCTTGACACTTGCCGGCGTCTCTCCGCATGGCAGACCGTTTTTATCGAGCTCGTAAATGATTTCCCTATTCGAGATGGAACAATTATAGTCCAACGATTTTGATTTGGTCGATGTTGATTTCGCCGAAGACGCGCGAGAGGTATTTCCTGAACCGCTTGATTTTTCGTCGTTGAACTGATACTCGACCGGGCTATTGTCGTCGGGATGAAGAAAGGCGCCCCAGCTACTGGGCCTTCGGCTGTGGTTATGCTGAAATTATTCAGACGTTTATGACTTCTCGCGGTGATCACGTTATCCTGTTTATATTCTCGTTTGTAATCGAAAAGGATATAAATCATTGTCAGAAAATCCTATAATGGAATAAACGATAATAAAAGATAGAAATGAGTTTGCAATAAACAAAATAGTCGGACGATCGATAGCTTTATCATCTTCAAAGATCAAAATTCAATATACATTCTCGTTAGCGTTACGTGGCGAAAAAAGGACGCTATTATGATAAATAATTGTAGCGTAGATGATACACAGGGTGTCCCATTTTAACTTTTACACTCGAATATCTCGAAACCATGGCGGTTTCGGTGAAAATGTTTTAAACAAAAGTTGTATGGTTTTAAAGGAGTCATAAGATGGTGTCATTGATTTTACTTTAAAAAGTCATTTAAAGGTCACGTGAAGGTCACCTTTAATTTTTTAAATAGAATCCCCTGTTCTTTATTACTTACTTTTATAGCTTATTTCGAGAGCTTTCCAAAACACTATAATAAAGTATTTCTTTATTGAGTACTTTTCGAGTTATGAGGCTTGAAATAATTTCTTAATTTTACATAAACCATAAAATATCTAGTAAAATATTTATTTTTCGATTATCTTACCTTAATATTTTTATGTACAAAATAATGAGAGAAATCAATTGATGTAAAGAAAAAACATAGTTGTTTCAAAGAAAAAATATGTAATTTGCAATTAACAATTCCATATTTTTTTTTTAAAACAATTGCATGTTTTCTTTACATCAATTGACTCTCATTATTTTGTACATAAACAGATTAAGATAAGATAATCGAAAAATGAATATTTTACTAGATGTTTTATGGCTTATTTTATGGTAAAATTAAAAAATTATTTCAAGCCTCATAACTTGAAAAATACTTAATGAAAAAATATTTTATGTTTATAGCGTTTTGCAAAGCTCTCGAGGCAAGTTACAAGAACATACAAAAGTATATAGGGTGTTTAAAAAGTTGGAGGTAATCTTCACGTGACCTTCAAACGACTTTTCAAGGTAAAAACAATGACACCTTATGGCCCCCTTAAAATCATACAACATTTGTTTAAAACATTTTCACAGAAACCGTCTTGGTTTCGAGATATTCGCGCGTGAAAGTTAACATGGAATACCCTGTATATAAAAATTTGGAAGAAGGAGCATTTTCATTCTGAGAGATAATCGCGATAAATACGTTATTTAGATATCTTAATAAAATGTATGTTTTTGCATTTTAAAAAATTTTTATATTATATATATGCACATTTATTTTAATATTTATTTACTTTATGGTTTATTTTATGATATTTATTTTAATGCTTCGCTTTATTTTAAAGACACACTCACACTGCGATAAAAAACTAACTAAAAGAAAAAGACAAAATCTCTTGATTCCATGCAAATTTCGTACAATAAGTAATTATAATAAAATTTTTTGTTAATAAAAAATTAAAATTAAGATTACTTTGAAAGTTTCTAAAACAGATTTGATATAATTTTCTTTCTATAATATTTTATTTGTGTATGCATGTGCGTGTGTACAAAATACATATATGAATATGTGAAACATTAAACTCACTATGAGAAATATTCTCACATGCGCGGGATGCAAAACCGATTTTTCGAACGGTGTTAAGTATACCTGGCTGTCATCGTCTACTTGCAGCTTGTTATCATCCATGTCGGCCTCTTCGAGTCCCTTTCAAAATACACAAGGCCAGATCGGAAGACTTTTGGCGGATAGGGTTTGGAGTTTCGCCATATCGGATAACATTTTTTGCTTCCTTTATCGGGAATAATGACGAGGCGATTATTCGAATGATTACTTAATTTGCACGCGCCACTGTCGAGAGGAGTATTTTGTAAACCTCAAGTAAACCATCTTAGAATGAGACCCGATACTTTTGCGAAGGCTCCTTCGAAATATTCGTCCACCCGCCACCAGAATGCACTTTAAGCTTTCTCGATCTGATAGTTGATCACGTGAAAATGAACATCGAGTGCCGATAGGTCGGGATAGTTGCGGTGATAGCCTCGCGTCGGTTAATCGTTTAATTATGAATGAATCACGACCTCACTCGAAGAAATACGATCGGTAGTCAGGGTCACGTAGTTCGAGGATGAAAAAAGGCGTTAATCATCTACTGGATTATGGTTATGGGGGTACGAGAGAAGTACCGAAGATTTCGAAGGTGCCCTGCCAATTTAATCGCCATGAGTATGCTTTCACGCAGCGGAACATGTTGGATCTCTAACCCTTTAATTCCACATTTAAATTTTGCTGACCACTTGGACTCACGTTTAGATTGATCGATTACACATGATTGATTCACTTGCTGTCATTTCTTCAATTTGGATTTATTTAGTGTCTTTGAATGGTATTTCTGGATATATCTTTTCCAAAACTTTTCTCAATTCGTAATTCAATAAATCGTTACAAATTGATAGGCACCGAAGGATCCTGGATCTTAGTGAAGCAATTAAGTTGTACGCCAAGTAGCTCCTTATAGCCTTTATTAAACTGCATCTAAAGAACACGTTTGTATAGACGAATCCTCGATCGAACTAATACTGTTCTTCTGCGACGATAGTGAAACATATACTGGCTAATGGATAGTGGAGCAATACTTATATATCACACACATGTATCGTCCCATCAGTGTCCTTTATTTATGTGCTTGTACACATTTCGCGAAGCTATATATGTGTGTGTGCACATTCCCCCTTTGCCGGAAGGGGGAGGAAGATTTCACCTTCCTCGCACGAGGGTGGAAGCAGCCGAGCGGAATGTCGAGGCTTTCGAAATTGCTATGGTTACCCGATGGACACAACATGTGTTACATACGTCACATCAAACGCATTACTGGTACTTCTTTTAAGTTTGAACTTGAAGAACGTGTCGGCGGGTATATAAGCACGCATGATCTATATAAGTTTTTTTCATCACGCGTTAAACCGTTGATAAACTAAGCTAAAGCTGAAAAACGTCTTATTATAAGAGATTATCTCTTTTTATCAAAATAATTACTGCACTTTGATGAAACAATTGTAGTATTGGTTTCGGCATCGAGTTTATTTGAACAAACTTGTACATTGTTGCTTCCATCCACATCATAATTATCATATAATATTTTTTATTGATATTGAATATCATAATATATATAAATAGAAAAGGATTTTATTAAATTTCTTATGTGTGTGTATATATAATTTTGTTGAAAATGCATTCGATGAGCAAATACGATACACTGAGAAAGTTTAAATAAAATATGTGAATATACGTGTTAACTATTATCAAAATATAGCATATACATATATTTTATATTTGATCATTTATTTCATCATGATTAGATATAATTTCCGGAAAGAAAAATAATTATACATATTGTGAAATATTGAATTATGTTATTATTATGTTTCAATATATATTAAAAATATATTTTATTAAATAAAATACTTAAATATGAAATATAAATTATACTGCACTTTATATATATACATATATAATATATTTTGATGAGAAATTTCCTGTGACGTTATATATATTAAGAAACACAATACAATTAAAATAATTAAAAGTAATAAAATGCAAAAGCTAGGCGTTTCTATAAGAATCAATTTAATTAATTTAATTAATTTTTATAAAGAATAATTAAAGAATTATGAATTAATATATTTTAATTATTAATTATAATATTTCTATTATTCTAAAATTAGCCTAAAATATTAAAATACAAGTACAATGTCTTCTGTTGTTGTTTAATCTTTACTCATTTGTATTAACATACAAATGAGTAAAGATAATTCCACATTGTAATATTAAGTTTTTACAATAATTTAAAATAATTTAATCTTTATTATACTTGAAGTAACTATAAATTACATGCAATAAAAATGTAATGTGTAATAATATCATAAATTGAGTAATTTTATTCTTCTGTATATTAGTTCAGTAATTTTATCCTTCTTTATATTAGTTCAGTATTTCTAAACCATATGCTAAAATATAAGATTTAATTTCTATAATATATGAATATATATATATATATATATATATACATATATATAATTTTTTATATAACAATATTATCTCCTTATTATGATTATGCTCTCTCTTACCGTGCTTTTACAATTCAAATTATTACAATTTCATCATCGTGTAGAATATATGACTGTAAAATAAGATACTGAGGTCTTCACTAGCTAGAATAAAAATTATCTTATATTTATGATTTATGCAGAATTAGATATATTTGATTTTCTTTTCTCTCATACCGTAGCAAAGCACTCTATAGATGCAACGAACAGTCCACCGACGCTCAAAGTAAAACTTTTCGAGTTCCTTTGTAACAGAAATAATATTATTCTCTGTATATGCAATGGAGCTATATACCACTGAACGTTATACCTAGAAAATGAATTATAAGAGACAAATTGTTCAATAAAATCTCTGAAACGCATCGGGAATGATTTTTTATCGATAAATTTCATCATTGTGCTTGTTTTGCAGAATATTAATTTCTATATTTGATGTAACAGTATGAGTTATCATGCGTACTGTTTTACAGATACGTTTCTTACGCAGTAGTAAATACGTGATGATTATGGTTCGTTATAATTTGACCAATATAATTGGCTAAAAACATATATAAAATGGCGATAACTGTATATAAAAAAGGCAATATCAATCCCTCTTCAAATGATGCAATCTAAAAGATCTAAGATTAATCGAACGTTTCACGCTGATGATATAATTAAAAAAAAGAACTCCTAAACATAAAAAGAAAGAATACTAAACTTTCAACGTTTTGAATGCTAATTATATTTTCGGTCGTTAAATTACATCACGTCACAACTTCGAGAAATTTGTGGTTAAAATTGCAAAAGAAGCATGTTATTGATTTTTATTTCTTCCTATTTTTAAGTTTAATGTATTTTACAGCGTTATAACTATCCTATTTGATGTTACAAAATTTTATATTCTAATTAATTAAATATGTTAGATTAAAATTTTTAATTTTTACAAAAAATTATTTGATTATAATTATTAATTATAATTATGATTATAATTATTTATTGATTATAATTTAATATTTTATTGTATTAAACGTAAAGTAAATAAATTAGGATTTAAAAATATATCAAATGTTTTTTTTTCATATAAAAGTTTTATAGATCGCTAAAAACGAATCTCAAAATTATCAAATTCAAGATAGCAAAATAAAAAAGTTAGGATTTTTTATTTTAAAATTCCTTACATTGATAAAGAGTATTATTATGTAATAATGGAACTTAATAGAAATAGAAATAATAATATAACAATGAAGCAAAGAAAACTTACTCGAAACAGATTGAGGCTCACTGAGCTTACTCCAAATGCTATTAAATAGAACATCATTGTTTCGCAACTGTATTGTAAGTGTTTAGACAATCTTTAAAAATAAAAATTTGTTAATATTCTTATATAACGCATGCATATTATCTGATTTATACAAACTTTATAGCTTGTCGATGAATATTCACAGCGTAAATTAAACTCTTTAATATCAAAATGTTTTTTTGATTTCGCAGCATGTCAACGTTCATTGCTTGTTTGATACGGTAACTATAAATGATATTTGTGTTTTAGTTGCAGGAATTATTTATATGAAATACATAAATTTTGCAGTTAAGTTTAAAAACTATTTTGTTTAATTTGCAAATAATAAATTTTTCGAATCTTTATAACGTTCATAACAATACCTGGCAATTTTAAACATCCCACAAACGTATTGAAGATACGTAAAAAACATTGTTCCTATTGCTAATGATGCGGTTAGTCCGATGGAAAATGATATAACATTATGCAGCAGTATCAAATAAAAATAGTTTTTTTGATCGATTAAATGCTTCGTTATGATCAAGTTATATGATCTTGATGTGTTTGTCGATAAAAAAACCTTCAAAATATCCGACCAAAATGACATAACGATAAAAGTCGATATGGTAAAAACGACAAGTACTAAAAAAGTATTAGAAAATTTTCACTTATATTTTTGCCACACATTTCTAAATTAGGTTTCTAAATTAGTTTAATTATTATCTTACATTGATGTGTGTATACATATTCGGGAAAAAATCCGTGTATAAATGAAATAGAAACATATGTAATTACAAACATATAAAATTACATTTAAAGTATATCCACATATATTTCTTTTTTTGTATCATTTTTGTTTTTGTATGCATAAAAAAATAAGAAAAATAATAAGAAGAAAATAATTAAAAAGTAATTACAATATTTTTCGAATTATTTATTTCAGAAAAATCAAAATTTGAAGAAATAAGTAGAAATTGCTTATATATAATCATATATAAATTTATATATAATTACTTATGAATATTTTCTTCACTTCTTTAAATTGCATTGCTTTCAAAGTTTTAAAAACAATTTATCTAACTATTTTTTAATTACTCTCTTTATTATTTGTGTATATGGCCAGAGGTTATGCAAAAGAGAAAATTTTATATATAATTATAATATCATTTAAAATTTAATTTTTTCAGTTAATGTATTTTTAATAGATTTTTATGCAATTAATTGCTACGTTGCCTTTCTATTATTTAAGATTTAAAAACATTTGTTATTGTGATTAACATTTACGTAGATTACACGATTACACGAGTTGTTAGAAGGTAAAGAGGAGAGTGATGAGGAAAGAAAAAGAGAGTACAAAAAAGAAAATGAAAGATGAATCATATATTGAATAAAAATTGTAAACGGAGAACAATTGTAATTACAACTTACAATTTCGAAATCAATTTTTTGTTTTTTCCAATGTAATATTTTAAAAGCTCTTGCGAGTTAAGAAGAAAACGTAACATGCAAATCTAAATTATTATCTTACCTGTAAGTGCAATAGTATAACGCTTGCCGCTACATCCATAAGCGTCTATAATAGCAATTTCTTTTTCATCTTTTAATTCATTACACACATGCAGTAGTTGTTCCATTAAATCCTTTATCTGTTGTTTTAGTAACCATATATCATTTCTTATCACTTTTCTATATATCAATTCTACATAATAATGTCAGAAAACATAGCGTAAAAACTTATTCGTCAAGTATATTTGTCTCGTCAACAAGTAAATTATCAATTTGTAGAGTTTTCAGATGTAGAAACTTCCAACTCGATAATTTAACTTACAGCTTTAACAGAGAACATGTTATATTTTATCATAAAGAGAGTAAACATAAATATGGAAGCTAGATCTTTAGTGAAATCTGGAGTCCATCTTTGTAAGAGCAATATTATGTACTGTAAATAATAATTTTATATTTACATACAAGTTTGAATTTTAGAATTATTCCTCTAAAGTCACTCACACACATACACACGCACACATATGGACAAATAAATTGTGAATTCTATAATATTAAATCTTTTCTAAAAAAATTCATAATATTTATAACGAATCTATTAATATAATATAACAATATTTGAAGAAATATAGAATATATATATATATATATATATATATATATATATATATATATACAAGTGTGTAAGTGCGTGCGTTTAATATATATTTATTCTGTGTGTATTTGCGTTTTAATTCTCATATATATGTTTATATTCATGTGTACATATATATGAAATATAATATTGACAATATAATTTCATGTTGACTTAATTGATTTTTAAATTTTATATGGGAATAGTTTATTTAGCAATAATTTATCATATAAAAATATTATTATATGATTTATTTTTAAAATTTATTAAATTTATTTTAAAATTTACCTGAAATATAACATTTGTCGTCAGAATACTAGATAGAAGAATAAATTGAAATCGAGCGAAATTTGATTGTTGGTATGGCCACAAGCCAATAACGAGCAAAAGAATCTTATTTAGACTGAAATAATCACTTTTGATGTTCTTCATTTCTTAGCAAGGTCTGAGATGTATGTGACGAAGTGCGGACAAGAATTACTCTTGTCCCCACCATTTTCCACCAATCGATCAACTATTATTTACTTCTCTCCTATATAGTATAAATTTCTCTCTGTGTAGTATAAATTTTAGCACCAATTACTTAATTTCCTAATGATGATATAATGATATAAGATACTACCTTGAGAATTTTCTCATTTTTTAAGAGTGTTTTTCATATAGCCTTTAATTTCACGATCAATTTGATAAGGGTGGAAATTGAGCGATTGTCTTTTTTTCCATTGGATAAGAAGAAAACATATTTATTGAGGAAATTATTTATGCGAAAGTCGCGCATGCGTAATCGTCACTTTTTTGACGCCACAATTTCATACTCTTCAGTTTAGTGCACGCATTCATGACATATGCTTACTCCTCGAGAAGCATTTAGTTTTAAGTTTTCTAGTATCTGGTTTATTTGTATTAAAGCTCGTATTATTTTTGAAGATGAATTAATCAAAACTGCATATGACATTTTTAAATCTTAAATTAGCGCAATTAACATTTTGATATTTTAGAAGCTAAAGGCAACCGAACCTGTCATGAGAGAATACATTTATATACAACCGTCATTATATATACAAATTAATTAATTTTTATCATCTAAAATTAATAATCTATTTTTTTCGAAACTTACTAAAATTTTAATTATCATCTATAAACATGAAAAAATTGATAAATAAATTAATATTTTTAAAGGTTTAGGTTTAGTTTTTTTCTTAAGGAAGTGTCAATTACAAAAATGTCATTTTGATTTCACTGGCAAATGAATTTTCAATAAAGGATAACATGATGAAATACTAAGTTAAGTTATAAATAGATTTTTCTATAAATACTAAATTTGTGTAACATTTTTTGTATTCTTTTTATATTATAATATTCAAACGCATCAATAAAGGGAAAGTAAAAATAAAACATAAATATTTATATGACTTGAAGAAAAATATTAAAATATTACAAGAAATAATTTCTTATAAATATACAACTTAAAATTGAATTAAATCAAAAATATAATAACTAAATTAGAAATATAGTAATAAAATTATTAATTATTTAGGACATTTAAAATAAAGTTAAATCAAATATCACACGCAACTCAATAAATTTCTTCGTAAAATGTGTACAATCAATAAAACGCTAAAAATATTACTCAGTAAATGTTCTTTCCCCTTTTCATTCTAATAGATATACGCATGGATGCACTCCTGTATAGTCTTCGAAAAAAATATTCTCCACATTTCGAACATTTTCAAACCAAATATAATAAGTAAAGTACAAAGTTACTTTTGAACTAGTCGAACATTGCAAATTAACAAAATTTCAAATTAAAAAAAGAAAAATAGACGAATGACGCAGTAAAAATTTCCACTATACTAATATTATTTCTTATTAAATATAATTTTTACGTAATTATATTTTTAGTAATACACTTTACGGATGATGTCACTGATTTCAATGATCTTGACATATGTTGTCAAGCTCACTCTCCTGAATAAGTATCAAAAGGTTTTAAGTGTCTCTTGTCGTTTATTAAAAAGTTATTAATAAAAAAATTTCTACGAATTATGTGCAATTTTTAGACATTATTATGTATGTTTTAGGAGTCAAAGTAAAATGTACATGCGTGGATACAGTATGTTCTGCCCCCTCTATAGAAGAGCTCCACTTTCGCAAGATATAACCTAAGCTAAACCTATTTCTGATTTAAAACTAAAATTTGGTTTGAGATGAACCTTGATTTGCATGAAAAGTTAAAACCCCATGTGAACTTTGTTTTATCTTGCAAACTATATGCGTGGCTACAGCCCCCAGATCATTGAAATCGGTGAAGTCGTCCGTAAAGTGCATAATTATCATATTTTTTTTAAATTCAATATACATACATGTTACTGTTACTGAACTATAAACTCAAATAACTTACAAGTACTGTTTATTTAAAAATGTGTCTTATTAAATAAAAATATTATATATGTTGATGATATTACAACTGAAGGTAATATTAAATAATTAAATATTAAGTTTATTATATGTTATTGTACTTGATGTACACGATGTTTCGTCAACATACAGCTCAATACGAAGGGTTCCCTGCTCATAGGAGCGCAAGACCGGTAATGAAGGAATAAGTAATAAAGATTACTTGCGTAAATTTTCGACGAAGTATATTTTCGCGTAATAAGCTGTTAGAAGAAAAAATTAAATTGCACAGAATAGTGAACTTGTGACATGAATATTTGAAATATATATCTAAAAGAATGTTATAATATTATAATATTACTATTATTATAATATAACTTTTAACATGTATATCAATAATCCTTATCTACATATGATTTCAATAATATTATAATAGTATAATATTATTATTATTATAATATAACTTTTAACATGTATATCAATAATTCTCATCTACATATGATTTCAATAATATTATAATATTATAATATTATTATTATATTATTATATTATTGCAATCATATATATAATATATGGGAATTATTGATATAATGTTAAGAGTTATATTAAGTTTAAGTTTATTTTATTTTTTTTGCGCTCCTATGAGCGGTCAATCCGTCGTATTGAGCTGTATGTTGATAAAACACCCTGTACATTCAATTCTAATTCGTTGCACACGCGCAATGAATATCTTGAAATTTTGTTCCCATACATTATGTTCCTATACAAGAGAAATTTTCCAGCTCTAAACTATACGTTATAAGTAAATGTTTTTATTTTTCTAATATATATAACATTATAAGAAAATAATGTTGCTTCTTTATTTTAACTATACTCTTTCTTATCGTGCTTTTATATAATTCAAACTATTACAATCTCGTTATCGTGTAGAATATATAACTGTAAAATAAAAGGTCTTCACTAGCTAAAATGAAAAATATCTTATATATTTATGATTATCATATTGATTATCATTAAATACATTGCTATATTTAGATAAATTTAGATATATTTATAAATATATTTATAGATATATTTATAGATATATTGATAAATATATTTTAAATATCATATTGGATATATTTTACTATAACTTCTATCCCATATCATAGGAAAGCACTAAAATATTAAAATACAATGTCTTCTGTTATTGTTTAAAATATTCACAAATGAGTGTAAATAATTTCACATAGTAATATTAAGTGTTTCAAAACAATTTAAAATAATTAAATCTTTATTATACTTGAAGTAACTATATGCTACGTGAAATTAAAAAATGTGCAATAATAATGTGCAGTAATAATGTAATGTGCAATAATATCATGAATTGACTAATTTTATTCTTCTACATTCTTCTTTATATTAGTTCAGTATTTCTAAATCATATACTAAAATAAAAGTTTGAATTTCTATAATATATAAAAAAAGAATATATAAATTTATATACATATATATATATATATAATTTTTATATAACAATATTATCTCCTTATTATGATTATGCTCTCTCTTACCATGCTTCTACAATTCAAATTATTACAATTTTATCATCGTGTAGAATATATGACTGTAAAATAAGATACTGAGGTCTTCACTAGCTAGAATACAAACCATCTTATATTTATGATTTATGCTGAATTAGATATATTTGATTTTCTCTTCTTTCATACCGTAGCAAAGCACTCTACAGATGCAACGAACAATCCACCGACGCTCAAAGTAAAATTTTTCGAGTCTCTTTGTAACAGAAATAATATTATTCTCTGTATATGCAATGGAGCTATATACCACTGAACGTTATATCTAGAAAATGGATTATAAGAGACAAATTGTTCAATAAAATCTCTGAAACGCATTGGGAATGATTTTTTATCGATAAATTTCCTCATTGTGCTTGTTTCGCAGAATATTAATTTCTATATTTGATGTAACAGTATGAGTTATAATGCGTACTGTTTTACAGGTACGTTTCTTACGCAGTATTAAATACGTAGTGATTATGGTTCGTTATAATTTGACCAATATAATTAGCCAAAAACATATATAAAATGGTGATAACTGTATATAAAGTAGGCAATATCAATCCCTCTTCAAATGATGCAATCTAAAAGATCTAAGATTAATCGGACGTTTTACGCTGGTAATATAATTTAAAAAAAATAACTGCTAAACACAAAAAGAAAGAATAATAAACTTTCAACGTTTTGAATGCTAATTATATTTTCGGTCGTTAAATTACATCACGTCACAACTTCGAGAAATTTGCGGTTGAAATTGCAAAAGAAGCATGTAATTGATTTTTATTTCTTCCTATTTTTAAGTTTAATGTATTTTGCAGTGTTATAACTGTCCTATTTGATGTTATAAAATTTTATATTCTAATTAATTAAATATGTTAAATTAAAACGTTCAATCTTCACAAATAATTATTTGATTATAATTATTAATTATAATTATGATTATAATTATTAATTGATTATAATTCCATATTGTATATTAGGAATATAACTAAGTTTCCGTCGCTCATAATTAAATGGCTTGCAAATGTAGTGAAGTTAGGCATTTGTTAATAAAATTGAGTGCCTAAAGTTCCATTTTTTATGAAAGAGATATTTTTTGTATCAATTTAAAATTAAATGTGATAAGTTGTTTGTTTGATGTACTTATTTACTATTTTGATTTAAATAAAACTGCAGCTGAAACTCATCGATTGATTTCTGAAACAGTCACTGCTGACCACTACCAACAATTATATATCGATTGAATGATGAATTGATGCGAAAAAGGCCAGTGATCGATGTAAGATGATTTTTTTGCATGACAACGCGCGACCTCATGTTGCAAGAATTGTAAAAGAACTATTGAAGCTCGAATACGAAATTCTCCCGCACCAACCTCTATTCTCCAGACTTGGCTTCATCGGATTACTATCTTCTCCGGTCAATACAACACGCGCTCGCCGATACATTTTTCCAATTCCGAAGAAGTCCAAAAATGCATCGATCAATGGATTGCTCTAGAAAACAAGTTGTCCTATTGTTGAGAAATCCAACTTTTGCAAAAAAGATTGGAAAAAATCATAGAAAACAATGGATTATATTTTGATTAATATATTAATTCATTTTCTTATTGAAATAGATGTACAATATTTTTCAAGTAGAAAAACAGAGAACTTAGTTATATACCTAATATTAAACATAAAGTAAATAAATTAGAATTTGAGAATATATGAAATATTTTATTTTTTTCATAAAAGTTTTCTAGATTGCTAAAAACGAACCTCATATTAAAATCTTTAATTCAAGAAAGCGAAATAAAAAAGTTAGGATATTTTATTTTAAAATTCCTTATATTGATTTTTTTGCTATTTTGAGTTCAATTTTGAAACATCAAACTCGTGTGCATGAATCTGGGATATCTTCAAAGATTAAATATATTGAATATATTTGATAGAGCCTCAATGATTTAATTCATAATTTTATTTAATAGACCCTATATTACTCATAAATATTTCTTTAATCAACATAATAAATTTCTCTTTTAAAATAATTTTTATTTAATTGTTCCAACAATATAATTATTGATTGCAGCAAAATTTCTTTAATATATATATCAAAGTTATAACATGATAACATTTGAAATGCATATAAATTTAGAATATATAAAAACATTCTTTTTTGAAAATTTAACCGCAAATTCTTCAAAATAACGACATGATAACAAATTATAAACTGGAATCAGCATCAAAAGTAATTATGGAAAATGATTACTGTTTTTTTTATACTTTTATTTTATTTCGTTGAATCGGTGAAAGCGATTCTTGCCGTATTTAATAAAGAGTATTTAATGTAATAATGAAAATTATAATAGAAATAATAATTTAACAATGAAACAAAATCACTTACTCGAAACAGATTGAGGCTCAACGAGCCTACTCCAAATGCTATTAAATAGAACATCATTGTTTCGCAACTGTATTGTAAGTGTTTAGACAATCTTTAAAAATAAAAATTTGTTAATATTTTTGCACAACGTACACATATTATTTAATTCATACAAACTTTATAGCTTGTCGATGAATATTTACAGCGCAAATTAAACTCTTCAATATGAAAATGTGATTTCGTAGCATGTCAACGTTCATTGCCTGTTTGATACGGTAGCTATAGATGATGTTTGTGTTTTAGTTGCAGGAATTATTTTTATCAAATACATAGATTTTGCAGTTAAGTTTAAAAACTATTTTCTTTAGTTTAAAAATAATAAATTCTCCAAATCTTTATGACGTTCATAACAATACCTGGCAATTTTAAACATCCCGCAAACGTATTGAAGATACGTAAAAAACATTGTTCCTGTCGCTAATAATGCAGTTAGACCGATGGAAAATGACATAATATTATGCAGCAGTATCAAATAAAAATACTTCTCTTGATCGATTAAATGCTTCGATATGATCAAGTTATATGATCTGGATGTGTTTGTCGATAAAAAAACGTTCAAAATATTCGACCAAAATGACACAACGATAAAAGTTGATATGGTAAGAACGGCAAGTACTAAAAAAGTATTAGAAAATTGTCACTTATATTTATGCCACACATAAGGTTTCTAAATTAGTTTAATCATTATCTTACATTGATGTGTGTATATATATTCGGGAAAAAATCCGTGTATAAAATACAAACATATAAAATTACATTTAAAGTATATCCACATATTTTTCTTTTTCTTGTATCATTTTTGTTTTTGTATGCATAAAAAAATAAGAAAAATAATAAGAAGTAAATAATTGAAAAGTAATTAGAATATTTTTCGAATTATTTATTTCAGAAAAATCAAAATTGAAGAAATAAGTAGAAATTGCTTATATATAATCATATATAAATTTATATATAATTACTTATGAATATTTTCTTCACTTCTTTAAATTGCATTGCTTCTAAGGTTTCAAAAACTATTTATCTAATTATTTTTTAATGATTCTTTTTATTATTTGTAAATATGACCAGAGGTTATGCAAACGAGAAAATTATATATATAATTATATGTTTTTATATTTAATTGTATTAATATTTTATCTGAACTAATCAATAAAATATAATTTTTTCAGTTAATGTATTTTTAATAAATTTTTATGCTATTAATTGCTACGTTGCCTTTCTATTATTTAAGATTTAAAAACATTTGTTATTGTGATTAACATTTACGTAGATTACGAGACGTTGTTAGAAGGTAAAAAGGAGAGTGACGAAGAAAGAAAAAGAGAGTGCAAAAAACAAAATGAAAGATGAATCATATATTGAATAAAAATTGTAAACGGAGAACAATTTTAATTACAACTTACAATTTCGAAATCAATTTTTTGTTTTTTCCAATGTAATATTTTAAAAGAACTTGCGAGTTAAGAAGAAAACGTAACATGCAAATCTAAATTATTATCTTACCTGTAAGTGCAATAGTATAACGCTTACCGTTACATCCATATGCGTCTATAATAGCAATTTCTTTTTCATCTTTTAATTTATTACACACATGCAGTAGTTGTTCCATTAAATCCTTTACCTGTTGTTTTAGTAATCATATATCATTTCTTATCACTTTTCTATATATCAATTCTACATAATAATGTCAGAAAACATAGTGTACTTATTCGTTACGTATATTTGTCTCGTCAACAAGTAAATTATCAATTTATAAAGTTTAGTTTTAGTTGTATAAACTTCCAACTCTCCAAGTTAACTTACAGCTTTAACAGAGAACATGTTGTATTTTATCATAAAGACAGTAAACATAAATATGGGACCTAGATCTTTGGTGAAGTTTGGAGTCTGTCTTTGTAAGAAAAGTATTATATACTGTAAATAATAATTTCATATTTACATACAAGTTTGCATTGTAAAATTATTCCTCCAAAGTCACTCGCGCACATACACGCAGGCATATGAACAAATAAATTGTGAATTCTATAATATTAAATCTTTTCTAATAAAAATTGATAATATTTATAACGAACCTATTAATATGATAATATTTGAGAAAATATAGAATATAGAATATATATATATATATATTTAGATATATATATATATATATATATATACAGAATTACACAAGTATATAAGTGCGTGTGTTTAATATTTATTCTACATGTATTTGCGTTTTAATTCTCATATATATATATATATATGTATATATTCATATGTGTATATATGTACGAATTATAATATTGACATAATATAATTTTATGTTGAGTTAATTGATTTTTAAATTTTATATGGGAAAAGTTTATTTAGCAGTAATTCATCATGTAAAAATATTATTATATGATATATTTTTAAAATTTATTAATTTATTTTAAAATTTACCTGAAATATAACATTTGTCGTCAGAATACTAGATAGAAGAATAAATTGAAATCGAGCGAAATTTGATTGTTGATACGGCCACAAGCCAAGAATGAGCAAAAGAATCTTATTTAAACTGAAATAATCACCTTTCATGTTGTTCATTTCTTTGCGAAGTCTGAGATGTATGTGACGAAGTGCCGATAAGAATTACTCTTGTCCCCACCATTTTCCATCGATCGTTCAACTATTATTTGCTTCTCTGCTCTAGAGTAAATTTGAGCACAAATTACTTAATTTTATATAATGATGATATAAGATACTACCTTAAGATCATAATAATTCGTATTTTCTAACAGTGTTTTTCATATAGTCTCTAATTTCGCGATCAATTTGATAAGGGTGGAAATTGAGCGAGTGTCTTTTTTTCCATAGGGTAAGAAAAAAAAAATTTATTGAGGAAATTATTATTAATTATTTATGCGAAAGTCGCGCACGCGTAATGATCATTTTTTTTTTGTCGCAACAAATTTATGCTCTTCAATTTAGTGCACGCATTCATAACATATGCTTGCTCCTCGAGAAGCATTTAGTTTTAAGTTTTCTAGTATCTGGTTTATTTGTATTAAAGCTCGTGTTATTTTTGAAGATGAATTAATCAAAACAGCACACGACATTTTTAAATCTCAAATTAGCGCAATTAACATTATGATATTTTAAAAGCTTAAAAGGTAACCAAACATGTCATGAAAGAGAACATTTATATATAATCGTAATTATGTATATAAATTAACTAATTTTTATTATCATTTAAAATTAATAATCTATTTTCTCGAAACTTACTAAAAATCTTGATCATCTTTGAAAACTTTATAATCTACAAAAACGGAAAAATTGATAAATAAATTAATATTTTGAAAAGTTTAGGTTTTTCTCTTAAGGAAGTGTCAATTACGAAAATATCATTTTGATTTGACTGGCAAATGAATTTTTAATAATGGATAACATGATGAAAGACTAACAAGTTAAGTTATAAATAGATTTTTCTATAGATACAAATTTGTGTGACATATACATTTTTCACTTTATATTATAATATTCGATCACATCAATACAGGAAAAATAAAAATAGAACATAAATATTTAAACGACTTGAAGAAAAATATTAAAATATTAAAAGAAGTAATTATGTAAAAATATAGAATCTAAAATTGAATTAAATTAAAAATATAATAATTAAATTAGAAAGATAATAATAAAATTAATAATTATTTAGGACATTTGAAATGAAATTAAATAAAATCAAATACAGGCAACTTAATAAATTTTTTTAAATACAGGCAACTTAATAAATTTTTTCGTGAAATGTATATACGATTAAAACGATCAATAAAAAACTAAAAATATTACTCAGTAAATGCTCTTTCCCCTTTTCATTCTAGTGGATACACGCATGGATGCACTCTTGTACAGTCTTCGAAAAAAATATTCTCCTCACTTCGAACATTTTTGAGCCAAATATAATCGGTAAAGTACAAAGTTATTTTCGAATTAGTCGAACGTACAATATAAATTAACAAGATTTCGAATTAAAAAAATAAAAATAGACGAACGGCACAGGAAGATTTCCGTTGCCGCTATAGTAACATTATTTGTTATTATATATAATTTTTACGTAATTATATTTTTTTAAATTCAATATACATATATGTTATTAAAAACTTTAAATTTAAATAATTTACGAGTACTATTTATTCAAAAATGTGTCATATTAAAGAAAAGTAGAAATATTATGATATCACAATTGGAAGTAATATTAAATAATGAAATATTAAATTTATTATACGTTATTGTACTTGATGTACACGTTATATTCAATTCCAATTCGTTGCGTACGTTTAATGAATATCTTAAAATAAATTTTGTTTTCCTGTGTTTCTACATGGGAAAACTTCCAGCTCTAAACTGTACGTTATAAGTAGATGTTTTTATTTTTCTAGTATATATAACAATTATACGAAAATAATGTTGTTTCTTTATTCTAACTATACTCTTTCTTATCGTGCTTTTATATAATTCAAACTATTACAATCTCTTTATCGTGTAGAATATATAACTGTAAAATAAGATACTGAGGTCTTCACTAACTAAAATGAAAAATATCTTAGGACACCATCTTATGTTCCCCTCAAAACCATACAATTTTTGTTGAAAACGTTTTTCTCTAAAATGTTTAGTTTTTGAAAGAAAAGGGGTGTATGGGTGGTTTAGGACACCCTGTATATTTATGATTATCATATACATTAAATACATTAGATATATTTTGTTATATTTATATAAATTTAGATATATTTATAAACATATTTATAGATATATTTATAGATATATTTATAAATATATTTTAAATATCATATTGGATATATTTTATTATATCTTCTATCTCATATCGTAGGAAAGTACTAAAATATTAAAATACAAGTACAATGTCTTCTGTTATTGTTTAAAATATTCACAAATAAGTGTAAATAATTTCACATAGTAATATTAAGTTTTTTAAAACAATTTAAAATAATTAAATCTTTATTATACTTGAAGTAACTATATGCTACGTGAAATAAAAATGTAATGTGCAATAATATCATAAATTGAGTAATTTTATTCTTCTACATTCTTCTTTATATTAATTCAGTATTTCTAAACCATATACCACAATAAAAGTTTTAATTTCTATAACATATAAAACGAGAATATATAAATATATATATATATATATATATATATGTATAATTTTTACATAACAATATTATCTCCTTATTATGATTATGCTCTCTCTTACCATGCTTTTACAATTCAAATTATTACAATTTTATCATCGTGTAGAATATATGACTGTAAAATAAGATACTGAAGTCTTCACTAGCTAGAATACAAACTATCTTATATTTATGATTTATGCTGAATTAGATATATTTGATTTTCTTTTCTTTCATACCGTAGCAAAGCACTCTATAGATGCAACGAACAGTCCACCGACGCTTAAAGTAAAATTTTTCGAGTCTCTTTGTAACAGAAATAATATTATTCTCTGTATATGCAATGGAGCTATATACCATTGTACGTTATACCTAGAAAATGGATTATAAGAGACAAATTGTTCAATAAAATCTCTGAAACGCATCGGGAATGATTTTTTATCGATAAATTTCATCATTGTGCTTGTTTTGCAGAATATTAACTTCTATATTTGATGTGACAGTATGAGTTATAATGTGTACTGTTTTACAGGTACGTTTCTTACGCAGTATTAAATACGTAGTGATTATGGTTCGTTATAATTTGACCAATATAATTGGCCAAAAACATATATAAAATGGCGATAACTGTATATAAAAAAGGCAATATCAATCCCTCTTCAAATGATGCAATCTAAAAGATCTAAGATTAATCGAACGTTTCACGCTGGTAATATAATTATAAAAAAACTGCTAAACACAAAAAGAAAGAATAATAAACTTTTATCATTTTGGACGCTAAATATATTTTTGGTCCTTAAATTACATCACGTCTCAACTTCGAGAAATTTGCGGTTAAAATTGTAAAAGAAGCATGTTATTGATTTTTATTTCTTCCTATTTGTAAGTTTAATGTATTTTACAGTGTTATAACTGTCCTATTTGACGTTATAAAATTTTATATTCTAATTAGTTAAATATGTTAAACTAAAACGTTCATCTTTACAAAAAATTATTTGATTATAATTTTTATTATAATCAAATAATTTTTATATAATATGTAATTTATATAATATGTTAAATTAAAATGTTCAATATCCACAAAAATTATTTGATTATAATTATTAATTATAATCAAATGATTATAATTATTATTATGATTATAATTATTAATTGATTATAATTGATTATAATTCCATATTGTATTATATTAGGAATATAATTAAGGTTCCGTCGCTCATAATTAAATGGCTTCAGTTGCAAATGTAGTAAAGTTAGGCGTTTGTCAATAAAATTGAGTGCCCAAAGATCCATTTTTTATGAAAGAAATATTTTTTGTATCGATTTAAAATTAAATGTGATAAGTTGTTTGTTCGATGTACTTCTTCACTACTTTGATTTAAATAAAACTGCAGCTGAGCTCGTCGATTGATTTCTGAAACAGTCACTGCTGACCACTACCAACAACAATTATACCGATTGAATGATGAATTGATGCGAAAAAAACCACTGATCGATGTAAGGTGATTCTTTTGCATGACAACGCGCGACTTCATGTTGCAAGAATTGTAAAAGAACTATTGAAGCTCGAATACGAAATTCTCCCGCACCAACCTCTATTCTACAGACTTGGCGTCATCGGATTACTATCTTCTCCGGTCAATACAACACGCGCTCGCCGATACATTTTTCCAATTCCGAAGAAGTCCAAAAATGCATCGATCAATGGATTGCTCTAGAAAACAAGTTGTCCTATTGTTGAGAAATCCAACTTTTGCAAAAAAGATTGGAAAAAATCATAGAAAACAATGGATTATATTTTGATTAATATATTAATTCATTTTCTTATTGAAATAGATGTATTTTACAAGTAAGAAAACAGCGGGAACTTAGTTATATACCTAATATTAAACATAAAGTAAATAAATTAGGATTTGAAAATATATTTATTATTTTTTTTTCTTCATAAAAGTTTTCTAGATTGCTGAAAACGAATCTCATATCAAAATCTTTAATTCAAGAAAACGAAATAAAAAAGTTAGGATTTTTTATTTTAAAATTCCATACATTGATGTTTTTTGCTATTTTGAGTTCAATTTTGATACATCAAACTCGTGTGTAGCAATCTGGGATATCTCCAAAGATTAAATATATTGAATATATTTGATAGAGCCTCAATGATCTAATTCATAATTTTATTTAATAGACCCTATATTACTCATAACTATTTCTTTAATCAACATAATAAATTTCTCTTTTAAAATAATTTTTAATTAATTGTTCCAACCATATAATTATTGATTGCAGCAAAATTTCTTCAATATATATATCAAAGTTATAACATGATAACTTTTGAAATGCATATAAATATAGAATATATAAAAATAATCTTTTTTAAAAATTTAATCGCAAATTCTTCAAAATAACGACGTGATAACAAATTATAAACTGGATTCAGTATCAAAAGTAATTATGGAAAATGATTACTGTTTTTTTACTTCATTACTTTTATTTTATTTCATTGAATCGTTGAAAGCGATTCTTGTCGTATTTAATAAAGAGTATTTAATGTAATAAAATTATAATAGAAATAATAATTTAACAATGAAACAAAATCACTTACTCGAAACAGATTGAGGCTCACCAAGCCTACTCCAAATGCTATTAAATAGAACATCATTGTTTCGCAACTGTATTGTAAGTGTTTAGACAATCTTTAAAAATAAAAATTTGTTAATATTTTTGCACAACGTACGCATATTATTTGATTCATACAAACTTTATAGCTTGTCGATGAATATTTACAGCGCAAATTAAACTTTTCAATATGAAAATGTCTTTTTGATTTCGTAACATATCAACGTTCATTGCCTGTTTGATACGGTAGCTATAGATGATGTTTGTGTTTTAGTTGCAGGAATTATTTTTATCAAATACATAGATTTTGCAGTTAAGTTTAAAAACTATTTTCTTTAGTTTACAAATAATAAATTCTCCAAATCTTTATGACGTTCATATCAATACCTGGCAATTTTAAACATCCCGCAAACGTATTGAAGATACGTAAAAAACATTGTTCCTATCGCTAATAATGCGGTTAGACCGATGGAAAATGATATAATATTATGCAGCAGTATCATATAAAAATACTTCTCTTGATCGATTAAATGCTTCGATATGATCAAGTTATATGATCTTGATGTGTTTGTCGACAAAAAAACGTTCAAAATATCCGACCAAAATGATACAACGATAAAAGTCGATATGGTAAAAACGACAAGTACTAAAAAAGTATTAGAAAATTGTCACTTATATTTTTGCCACACATAAGGTTTTTAAATTAGTTTAATCATTATTTTACATTGATGTGTGTATACATATTCGGGAAAAAATCCGTGTATAAATGAAAAAAATACAAACATTTATAATTACAAGCATATAAAATTACATTTAAAGTATATCCACATATTTTTCTTTTTCTTGTATGATTTTTGTTTTTGTATGCATAAAAAAATAAGAAAAATAATAAGAAGAAAATAATTGAAAAATAATTAAAATTTTTTTCGAATTATTTATTTCAGAAAAATCAAAATTTGAAGAAATAAGTAGAAATTGCTTACATATGATCATATGTAAATTTATATATAATTACTTATGAATATTTTCTTCACTTCTTTAAATTGCATTGCTTCCAAGGTTTCAAAAACTATTTATCTAATTATTTTTTAATGACTCTTTTTATTATTTGTGTATATGGCCAGAGGTTATGCAAAAGAGAAAATTTTATATATAATTATATGTTTTTATATTTAATTGTATTAATATTTTATCTGAAGTAATCAATAAAATATAATTTTTTCAGTTAATGTATTTTTAATAAATTTTTATGCTATTAATTGCTACGTTGCCTTTCTATTATTTGAGATTTGAAAACATTTGTCATTGTGATTAACATTTACGTAGATTACACGAGACGTTGTTAGAAGATCAAGAAAAGAATGGTGAAGAAAGAAAAAAAGAGTGCAAAAAGGAAAATGAAAGATAAATCATATATTAAATAAAAATTATAAACGGAGAACAATTGTAATTACAACAACAACTTGTAAACGGAGAACAATTGTAATTACAACTTACAATTTCGAAATCAATTTTTCGTTTTTCCCAATGTAATATCTTAAAAGCTCTTGCGAGTTAAGAAGAAAACGTAACATGCAAATCTAAATTATTATCTTACCTGTAAGTGCAATAGTATAACGTTTGCCGTTACATCCATATGCGTCTATAATAGCAATTTCTCTTTCATCTTTTAATTCATTACACACATGCAGTAGTTGTTCCATTAAATCCTTTATCTGTTGTTTTAGTAACCATATATCATTTCTTATCACTTTTCTATATATCAATTCTACATAATAATGTCAGAAAACATAGTGTACTTATTCGTTACGTATATTTGTCTCGTCAACAAGTAAATTATCAATTTATAAAGTTTCAGTTGCATAAACTTCCAACTCTCCAAGTTAACTTACAGCTTTAACAGAGAACATGTTGTATTTTATCATAAAAAGAGTAAACATAAATATGGAAGCTAGATCTTTGGTGAAGTTTGGAGTCCGTCTTTGTAAGAAAAATATTATGTACTGTAAATAATAATTTCATATTTACATACAAGTTTGCATTGTCAAATTATTCCTCTAAAGTCACTCGCGTACATGCACACGCAGGCATATAAAAAAATAAATTGTGAATTCTATAATATTAAATCTTTTCTAAAAAATTTGATAATATTTATAACGAATCTATTAATATGATAATATTTGAGAAAATATAGAATATATATATATATATATATATATATATATATATATATATGAGAATTAAAACGCAAATACATAAAGAATAAATAATAATTAAACACACGCACTTATACACTTGTGTAATTTTATACATATATATATATATACATATATATATATATATATATATATATATATATATAAAATTATACAAGTGTATAAGTGCGTGTGTTTAATTATTATTTATTTTTTATGTATTTGCGTTTTAATTCTCATATATATATTATATATATATATATATATATGTATATATATGTTTATATTCATATGTGTATATATGTACGAATTATAATTTTGACATAATATAATTTTATTTTGACTTAATTGATTTTTAAATTTTATATGGGAAAAGTTTATTTAGCAGTAATTCATCATGTAAAAATATTATTATATGATATATTTTTAAAATTTATTAATTTATTTTAAAATTTACCTGAAATATAACATTTGTCGTCAGAATACTAGATAGAAGAATAAATTGAAATCGAGCGAAATTTGATTGTTGATACGGCCACAAGCCAAGAATGAGCAAAAGAATCTTATTTAAACTGAAATAATCACCTTTCATGTTGTTCATTTCTTTGCGAAGTTTGAGATGTATGTGACGAAGTGCCGATAAGAATTACTCTTGTCCCCACCATTTTCCACCGATCGTTCAACTATTATTTGCTTCTCTGCTCTAGAGTAAATTTGAGCACAAATTACTTAATTTTATATAATGATGATGTAAGATACTACCTTAAGATCATAATAATTCGTATTTTTTAACAGTGTTTTTCATATAGTCTCTAATTTCGCGATCAATTTGATAAGGGTGGAAATTGAGCGAGTGTCTTTTTTTCCATAGGGTAAGAAAAAAAAAAATTTATTGAGGAAATTATTATTAATTATTTATGCGAAAGTCGCGCACGCGTAATGATCATTTTTTTTGTCGCCACAAATTTATGCTCTTCAGTTTAGTGCACGCATTCATAACGTATGCTTGCTCCTCGAGAAGTATTTAGTTTTAAGTTCTTTAGTATCTGATTTATTTGTATTAAAGCTCGTATTATTTTTGAAGATGAATTAATCAAAACTGAACACAACATTTTTAAATCTCAAATTAGCGCAATTAACATTTTGATATTTTAAAAGCTTAAAAGGTAACCAAACATGTCATGAAAGAGAACATTTATATATAATCGTAATTATGTATACAAATTAACTAATTTTTATTATCATTTAAAATTATTAATCTATATTCTCGAAACTTACTAAAAATTTTGATCATCTTTGAAAACTTTATCATCTACAAAAATGGAAAATTTGATAAATAAATTATTATTTTTAAAAGTTTAGGTTTTTCTCTTAAGGAAGGGTCAATTACGAAAATATCATTTTGATTTCACTGACAAATGAATTTTTAATAATGGATAACATGATGAAAGACTAACAAGTTAAGTTATAAATAGATTTTTCTATAAATACTAAATTTGTGTAACATTTTTTGTATTCACTTTATATTATAATATTCGATCGCATCAATAAAGGAAAAATAAAAATAAAACATAAATATTTAAACGACTTGAAGAAAAATATTAAAATATTAAAAGAAGTAATTACGTAAAAATATAGAATCTAAAATTGAATTAAATTAAAAATATAATAATTAAATTAGAAAGATAATAATAAAATTAATAATTATTTAGGACATTTGAAATGAAATTAAATAAAATCAAATATCACACACAACTTAATAAATTTTTTCGTGAAATGTATATACGATTAAAACGATCAATAAAAAACTAAAAATATTACTCAGTAAATATTCTTTCCCCTTTTCATTCTAGTGGATACACGCATGGATGCACTCTTGTATAGTCTTCGAAAAAAATATTCTCCTCACTTCGAACATTTTTGAGCCAAATATAATCGGTAAAGTACAAAGTTATTTTCGAATTAGTTGAGCGTACAATATAAATTAACAAGATTTCGAATTAAAAAAATAAAAATAGACGAACGGCACAGGAAGATATCCGTTGTCGCTAGTATTGTAACATTATTTGTTATTAATTATAATTTTACGTAATTATATTTTTTTAAATTCAATATACATATATGTTATTAAAAACTTTAAATTCAAATAATTTACGAGTACTATTTATTTAAAAATGTGTCATATTAAAGAAAAGTAGAAATATTATGATATCACAATTGGAAGTAATATTAAATAATGAAATATTAAATTTATTACGTTATTGTACTTGATGTACACGTTATATTCAATTCCAATTCGTTGCGTACGTTTAATGAATATCTTAAAATAAATTTTGTTTTTTGTGTTTCTACAATACATGGGAAAACTTCCAGCTCTAAACTATACGTTATACATAGATGTTTTTATTTTTCTAGTATATATAACAATTATACGAAAATAATGTTGTTACTTTATTCTAACTATATTCTTTCTTATCGTGCTTTTATATAATTCAAACTATTACAGTCTTTTTATCGTGTAGAATATATAACTGTAAAATAAGATACTGAGGTCTTCACTAGCTAAAATGGAAAATATCTTATATATTTATGATTATCATATACATTAAATATATTAGATATACTTTGTTATATTTAAATATATTTAGATAGATTTATAAATATATTTTAAAATATTATATTGGATATATTTCATTTCTTTACTCTCATACCGTAGCGAAGCACTCTATAGACGCGTCAAACAGTCCACCGATATTCAAAGTAAAGTTTCGAGAATTTCTTTGTAACAAAAATAAAATCATTCTTTGTATATACAAGGGAGCTACGTACCATCGAACATTATATCTAAAAAATTAATTGTAAAATCGATGATCAAATATCTGAAATATATCGTAAAATGATTTTTTATTAGTAAATTTCAGCGTCATGCATGATATGCACATGTATTGATTTCTACATTTAATGTAATGATACATTTAATGTAATGGTTTGAGTCTTCATGCATGCTGTTTTGCAGATACATTTCTTACGCTGTAACAAATACTTGTTGATTATGATTCGTTATAGTTTGTCCGACATAGTTGGCTAGAAACATATACAAGACAGAGACACTTGCAGATAGAAAAGGAATTATCAATTCCTTCACATTTTCTGTAGATGATGCAACCTGAAAAATCTAGACCAATTTATTGATGTTTTATGTTATTTATATAATTTCACAAAAAAAGACTTTATTTAAACATAAGAAAGAGGATAATATTAATTGTTAATATTTTTAACGCTGTAGGCGTTTTTTAAATTGTTGTATTACTTTATAAAATGAAATTTTGAAAAATTTAATATCAGAATAGGAAAGAAATATTTTTATTTATCTTTATTTTTCGTTATCCATTTTTAATTTTATATATCTTACTCTATTACTTTATGAGATTTATTGAAGAAATTTTGTTACAGTTAAAATTGAGTATACTGTTAAGTTTTTTCAATTTTTAAACGTAATTATGCGTGTTGATTATAATTAACATAATATTTATGATTAAATATGATTTATTATGGAAAAATTGTAAGTTTGGATTTGAAAGTATATGTATGTAAAAATGTGTGTGTGTGTGTCAAATAATTTTCCACATTTTTATTCAAACTTGAGGATTTTCTTTTGGTCATTAAAAGTAAATCTCATAACAAAATCAATAAATATAAATTAATATAATAAACAAAATTGAATTTTTTAAATTTTGGAAACTTTCGCGTTGATTCTACTAGGGAAATTACTAATTTTAATGTTGAACTCATTTAGCAATTTTGAAAATTTTCAAATTTGAATATACATTAAAAAATATTTGATAGATCCTCATTTGAAAATTATATTAAAATTATATTAAAATAATATCAATTAAATAGAGGATTTTGACCATACTTAATAAATATTGTGTAACGTTATAACGAAATCACTTAATATAAATGAAATGCGGTATATTTTCATATGAAAGTATAGAGCATTTACTTAAAGAATAGATTTTGAAAAATAGAAAACTTACTCGAAACAAATTAAGGCTCACCGAGGCTACTCCAGCTATTATTAAACAAAACATCATTGCTTCAATCTTGGTTAAAAAGTATTTGGACAATCTTTAAAAATAATAATTTGTTACTCTCTCTGCCTCTCCCTCTCTCTCTCTCTCTCTCTCTCTCTCTCTCTCTCTCTCTCTCTCTCTCTCTCTCTCTCTCTCTCTCTCTCTCTCTCTCTCTCTTCTCTCTCTCTCTCTCTCTCTCTCTTCTCTCTCTCTCCTCTCTCTCTCTTCTCTTCTCTCTCTTCTCTCTCTCTCTCTCTCTCTCTCTCTCTCTCTCTCTCTCTCTCTCTCTCTCTCTCTCTCTCTCTCTCTCTCTCTCTCTCTCTCTCTCTTCTCTCTCTCTCTCTCTCTCTCTCTCTCTCTCTCTCTCTCTCTCTCTCTCTCTCTCTCTCTCTCTCTCTCTCTCTCTCTTCTCTCTCTCTCTCTCTCTCTCTCTCTCTCTCTCCTCTCTCTCTCTCTCTCTCTCTCTCTCTCTCTCTCTCTCTCTCTCTCTCTCTCTCTCCTCTCTCTCTCTCTCTCTCTCTCTCTCTCTCTCTCTTTCTCTCTCTCTCTCTCTCTCTCTCTCTCTCTCTCTCTCTTCTCTCTCTCTCTCTCTCTCTCTCTCTCTCTCTCTCTCTCTCTCTCTCCTCTCTCTCTCTCTCTCTCTCTCTCTCTCTCTCTCTCTCTCTCTCTCTCTCTCTCTCTCTCTCTCTTCTCTCTCTCTCTCTCTCTCTCTCTCTCTCTCTCTCTCTCTCTTCTCTCTCTCCATACACACACGCGCGCACGCGCGCCCACACTATATATATATATATATATATCAACCTCATAGCCTGTCGGTGAATATCCACAGCACAAATTAAACCCTTGAATATCAAAATGTCTTTTTGATTAATATTTTGTAACATATCAATGTTCATTGCACGTTCGATACGGTAACTACAAATAATATTTTAATTATATATATGAAAATTTACTAAATAGAAGCATTTTTTTCAGTTAAGTCTAAGTTAATTTTAATTATATGTTAGTTTGTATGTTAGAAAATAACAAATTATATGAATTATTGTTGCATATTTATATTTATACCTTGCAATTTTAAACATTCCACTAGTGTGCTTAAAATACATAATAAGCATTGTTCCTGTCGCTAACATTGCAATTAGCCCGATGCAAAATGATGCAATATTATGCAACAGAATAAAATAAAAATATTTTTTTTGATCGATAAAATATTCTGTCATAATCAACAAGTGATGTGATCTTGATGTATTTGTCGATGAAATAATGTTCAAAATATTCGACCAAAATGACACAATGATAAAAGCTTTTATGCTGATAATGGCAATTACTAAAAGAATTAGAGAGAAATAGAATTATTATTTAATTTTTTCTCATATATAAATTTTTTAAATTGACTTATGTATTATATCATACTATGTATATAACATATATATATATATATATATTAATGTTATTTAAGTTATTTATGTTATTAAATATAATGTTATTTATGTTATTAAATATTACAATTACACTATATCAATGTTAAAAGCTGATTTCACTTTCCTCATTCCCTACGGATTTACATTCAAGGTATCAAACAAGGAATTTTTTCACTTTTCACGAAAAAAAATTACATGATCGATCCTCTGATTATATATATATGACTATATATGACTATATATATATATATATATATATATATATATATATATATATTACAGGGTGTTTCCGCAACATACAGATCGGTAAGTCGGGTTGCCTATCTGACGATCTTAATTGAAAAATAATAAAATCAAAGGATCGATCATGTAATTTTTTTTCGTGAAAAGTGAAAAAATTCCTTGTTTGATACCTTGAATGCAAATCCGTAGGAAATGAGGAAAGTGAAATCAGCTTTTAACATTGATATAGTGTAATTGTAATATTTAATAACATAAATAACATTATATTTAATAACATAAATAACTTAAATAACATTAATAACATAAAATGACACAATTGAAATATAATAACACAGATAAAATATAATGAATTTAAACAAAAAACTATTTTTTAATGTTCACAATATATGCTCAATGTAACCGCCATTCTCTTCTAAACATAAAGCAATCCTCCGCATAAAATTTTTCCTTACTCTCCGAATTATCGGAGGAGTGATTTCCGCACACGCGTTTCGAATTTTATTTTTAAGATTTTCTTTATATAATGTTATTTATGTTATTAAATATTACAATTACACTATCAATGTTAAAAGATAATTTCACTTTCTTCATTCTCTATGCATTCGCATTCAAGGCAATCAATCAAGGAATTTTTTCACTTTTCACGAAAAAAAATTACATGATCGATCCTCTGATTTTATTATTTTTCAATTATACGAGATCGGTAAAAGAAGACTAATTGTCAAATAGGCAACCCGACTTACCGATCTGTATGTTGCGGAAGCACCCTGTATATATATACAGGGTGTCCGACGATTTTCGACCTTAATGAAATAAATAAGTAGATTGACTCGAATTAACAAGAAATGACCAGTATTGCTTTGGGATTGTCGCAATAATTAACGAAATATTAAATAAAAAAGATCGGCCAATCTGCGTGAGTAAAAGCGCGCGGCGACGAGAGTCGTCCCACCGTAATCCGATACTACGAACGCGGCGAAGCGGTAGGCGGGTCGATCTCCGAGACATGATGGTGGTTTGCGATATATCGCAATACCGCGCCGAAAAATGACCCGTCCCCCCTTTTCGTGGCGAGAAAATGATGCGCTATCATTTCCACACCACCTTGCGGTAGATAGCATGGTGCGCTTTTTTTATAGTGGTTTCCCCCATAGGCCTATTCCACTGTCAATTTAAAAATTATTCAAAATGCCATTTACTATACGCTGAATATATCGTAAATGTAAAAAATTAATGGACAGTACCTTTACAAAAATTGATTTGTGGTTGAAAATTCCTCGATAAAATGTATTGCACACGTTGATAATGTGATACGATGATAAAATTCTTCAAGAATCCTTTCTTCATCTCGTACACGAAGACGCACTGCTGGACCGGTTATCCCGATATTATGCACGACACTCAGTTTCACATAATTATTGCACAACACGTAAAATTGTACGGCCACTTGGTTTTCGTGCACGCCCGAGAAATGATTCCATGTAAATTGCGGCCGCACGATAAGTATTTTCTCCCGCTAGTCCGTATACCACAATCATATCCGTATATTCCTGCAGAGTACACTTCATTTTCACTGTTAATTTACTACGCAAACACAAGATTTTTATTAAAACGTCTTAGCTCTCGCACGCTGTTACCAGACTGCGTACGCCAGCAGCACGCAACTACAGCTGAGCGGACATGCGAGTGTAATCATAGTGCGCAGGCGTCGAACTCACACGTACGCTTACACTCGCATGTCCGCTCAGCTGTCAGCTGTAGTTGCGTGCTGCTGGCGTACGCAGTCTGGTAACAGCGTGCGAGAGCTAAGACGTTTTAATAAAAATCTTGTGTTTGCGTAGTAAATTAACAGTGAAAATGAAGTGTACTCTGCAGGAATATACGGATATGATTGTGGTATACGGACTAGCGGGAGAAAATACTTATCGTGCGGCCGCAATTTACATGGAATCATTTCTCGGGCGTGCACGAAAACCAAGTGGCCGTACAATTTTACGTGTTGTGCAATAATTATGTGAAACTGAGTGTCGTGCATAATATCGGGATAACCGGTCCAGCAGTGCGTCTTCGTGTACGAGATGAAGAAAGGATTCTTGAAGAATTTTATCATCGTATCACATTATCAACGTGTGCAATACATTTTATCGAGGAATTTTCAACCACAAATCAATTTTTGTAAAGGTACTGTCCATTAATTTTTTACATTTACGATATATTCAGCGTATAGTAAATGGCATTTTGAATAATTTTTAAATTGACAGTGGAATAGGCCTATGGGGGAAACCACTATAAAAAAAGCGCACCATGCTATCTACCGCAAGGTGGTGTGGAAATGATAGCGCATCATTTTCTCGCCACGAAAAGGGGGGACGGGTCATTTTTCGGCGCGGTATTGCGATATATCGCAAACCTCCATCATGTCTCGGAGAGCGACCCGCCTACCGCTTCGCCGCGTTCGTAGTATCGGATTACGGTGGGACGACTCTCGTCGCCGCGCGCTTTTACTCACGCAGATTGGCCGATCTTTTTTATTTAATATTTCGTTAATTATTGCGACAATCCCAAAGCTATACCGGTCATTTCTTGTTAATTCGAGCCAATCTACTTATTTATTTCATTAAGGTCGAAAATCGACGGACACCCTGTATATATATATATATATATATATATATATATATATATATATATATATATATGAGTACAATAGTAACAATAATTGAAACATTAATATTATTATTAATTAATCAATCTGTGATCGATTTTTATCTTTCATTTAATTGTTATCTTTTCTATTATTTCCGAGATTTAAAAACATGTGCCTTGAATTATTATGTGCACAGGGAAATTCTTGTAATTTCTCGAAATTTCTCAAAAGTGAAATCTTGATAATTTTTGCGTATTAGTAAAAAAGTGTAACAAGTAAATTTTAAAAAATTTTCTTACCTGTAAGTGTCATTGTATAACGTTTGCCACTACATCCATATTCGTTTATAATAGCAATTTCATTTTCGTCTTTTAATTTATTACATGCATACAATAGTTGTTTTAATAAATTCTTTACCTATTTTAATAATTTTATATTATTTTTTGCATAATATATAATGTCAAAGAACATTGCGGAAAAACTTATTCACCAACTTTATTCAGTAATTATAAAGTTATCAATTGTATAAAACTGTTCAATTCTGTAAGTTATTAACTTACAGTTCTAATATTAATATAGAACATGTTGTACTTTATTATAAAGACGGTAAAGAAAAATACGGAAGCTAAAACTTTGATGATGAGGTCCGGAGTACATTTTTGTGACAGAAATGTTGTACACTGCAAATAGTAATTTTATTTACAAATTTGCATTAAAAAAATTGTTAATGCCATGTGAGCACACATACTTATACATGCATATGGATATACAAATTTTATATGACTGCTTTTGTTTTAAAAATTTGTTACTATCATGACAGAATTTGTTACTATCGTAACAGAATTTGTTACTATCATGATAGAATTTAATAGAAATATTTAGAATTAGAATGTACTTATATATATAATTATATATACATATTGTTACGGCCCTGATGTCCGTGTTCATCGGGACGGCGCCGATTTACGAGAAGAAGCGCGTTGTCAAGAGGTTGTTGACAGCAGCGCCTGAGTTCGATTCCAGCTGTCAAGCTGCGCGGACGCGTTTGTGTATCGAGCCGAGCCGAATTACTAATATTGTGTTAAAGCGTTCTGTGATTACGTTGTAGTGTTCTGTGTGTGGTGTTGTGCATTAAAGAGTTCCGAGTTCCTTTTAAAAGTGTCTATTCATTTCGCGCGACTCGCGAGCGGCCAATCTCTCCGCGCGCGTCTTCGATATTAATCGAAGTCTTCGCCGCGGGCGTAACAATATGTATGTTTTAATATTAATTGTTTATATGTGTATTAATTGTTTATGGTGTTGCGCTTGAATACACGGCAGTATGACGGATTCATGATCGGACTCCGACGGGATTGCCTATCTGGTATCGGAGTCCGATCGGTCGAGAAATACGCGTGCCGATATTATCGATGAATAATATAAATAATAAATAAAAATAATAATATAATAATAAGAAAATAAAAGAAATAAAAATAATAAAAAATAAAAATAATAATATAATTATATATATATATATATATATATATATATATATATTGTATATATATATATATTATATTATTATTAATATTATTAATAATATATATATATATATATATATATATATATATATATATACAGTGACCGGCAAAAATAAAAAGCCATTTTCCTAGTTATACTGTTTTGCTTAATGAAAGAGTAAAAATATTAAAACAATGAGATTTTCATTGATGAAAGAAGAAGCATTTATTATTTATTTTTAAATTTTATGTTACAATCACATAAATTATTTTTTACTTTTCAGTTTTATTTATATTTCTTAAATATTGCTGTTTATTATATTGACAAAATAAAAAAGCCATTCAGATTTGTTCGATTTAATATATATAATATTTTGTTTGGTTGTCATGTCAACATGTTCGTCTTATTGCGCTCACTTCTCGTTGTTGTTAATCATTTTTGCAACATTGGCTTATCTCGATTATTACACAAAATTCGCGGTCAAAAATGGGAGGAAGATCAATTTCCACACAAGTTTGAAACTTAATTGTGAGAGATATTCAAAAAGGTCTTTCCCAACGGAATATAGCCAAAAATTATGAAGTAAGTAGAGGAGCAGTAGAACAGATCAGAAGAAAATTTCAATCAACTGGATCGGTGGCAGATAGAATCGGAAGAGGTCGAAAACGAGCAACATCCAAGCGGGAGGATATGAAAATAATCCGTGAAGTTAAGAAAAATCCTAAGATTACTGTTAGAGAAATTCAGAAAAACATTTATCTTACTGTTTCTGACTGCACTGTATGTCGAAGACTCAATGAAGGAAATTTACACAGCCGGTTTGCACGTAAACGACCTTTCTTTAGCGTCACCAATAAGAAAAAACGTTTGCAATTTGCTCGGAAGTATGCAAATATGTCATTGGACTTCTGGAAAAATATTTTATGGACAGATGAAAGCAAATTCGAGTTATTTGGACAAAAGAAGCGGATTAGAGTCTGGAGAAAACACGGCGAAGAGCTTCAAGATCGTCATATTCAGAAAACTGTAAAGTATGGCGGAGGAAATATTTTAGTCTGGGGATGTTTCTCATGGGCAGGAGTGGGAAATCTTGTCAAAATTAACGGAATTATGACAGCAGATGTCTACATTGATATAATAAATGAAAATTTGGAGGAGTGTTTGTTGAAACTCGGACTAGAAGATAATTTTATTTTCCAACAAGATAATGACCCGAAACACACAGCAAAGAAAAGTCAAGCTTTTTTTCGTTCCTGCCGAATTAAACAACTTGAATGGCCTCCGCAATCTCCAGATTTGAACCCTATCGAAAATCTGTGGGCAATTTTGGATAATAGGATTAATAAAAGCGGGAGTAACTAACAAGAATTCTTATTTTGAAGCATTACAACTAGCCTGGGAGAATTTGGATCCACAACATTTAAAAAATTTAATTGAAAGTATACCAAGAAGACTGCAAAAAGTAATTGAGGTTAAAGGAAATCATATTAATTATTAATTAAAATAATATGGTTGTTTTTTTAAATCGTAATATTATGTTACCTTAACTGGCTTTTTTATTTTGTCACTCTTAAATAAATGATTATATAGAAATAAATACAGTATTAAATAAAAAATGATTTCTTTTCAATTAAAAACATTAAATTAATTAATAAATTTTCAGTTTTAGTTATAAAAAACTTTATAATGAATTTTTTTTTACCTTTTAGCATCAAATAAGTTTTATAGTTAAGGTGGCTTTTTATTTTTGCCGGTCACTGTATATATATATATATAATTATTTTTATTTATTATTATTTATATATATATATATATATATTAGTGTATATATATATATATATATATATATATATACATATACAATATATATATATATACAGGGTGTCCCATGTAACCTGACAAATCGAAATAACTCAAAAAATACGCATTTTACGACATAATATCCAAAATAAAAGTTGTTCCCGTCAAAGAGGGCCGTCGAATGATACCAAAATCGACTCCGCCGCCGCTCCCCTCGAGGTGGGGTGGGGGCAACTTTTAAATCTCAAACGGAAACCTCCATTTTTTATTACATATTCTTGTAGCTTATCTCGAGAGCTTTCCAAAACACTATAATTAAGTACCTTTTCATTAAGTACTTTTTGAGTTATAAGGCTTGAAATAATTTCTTAATTTTACATAAACCATAAAATATCTAGTAAACCATTGATTTTTCGATTATCTTACTTTCATACTTTTATGTACAAAATAATGAGAGGAATCATTGGTGTAAAGAAAATATACAATTGTTTTTAAGAAAAAATATGGAATTGTTAATTGCAAATTACATATTTTTTCTTAGAAACAACTATGTGTTTTCTTTACATCAATTGATTCCTCTTATTATTTTGTACATAAAAGTATCAAATAAAATACGTATTTTAAGTATAAAAGTATTTTAAGTATAAAATACGTATTTTTTGAGTTATTTTGATTTGTCAGGTTACATGGAACACCCTGTAAATATATATATATATAAATATATATGTATATATATTATTATATTATTATTTTTATTTATTATTTATATTATTCATCGATAATATCGGCACGCATGTTTCTGAACCGATCGGACTCCGACGGGATAGGCAATCCGTCATACTGCCGTGTATTCAAGCGCAACACCCTGTACGTTTTAATTTTTTCTCTAATATATAGAACAATATTCAACAAATTCTTACATACTCATATATATATATGTATGTGCGTACATGTATATATCTGTATATACATGTACGCATATATATACGAGTATGTAAAAATTATAATATAATATAATTGACATAATAATTTTATGTTAATCTAAAATGATTTTTAACTTCCATAGGAAATTACTTAACAATAATTTATTATTGCTAAATAATTTGAAAATATTATAATTTATTGTATAAAATTTACCTGAAATATAACGTTTGTCGTCAGAATATTAGACAGAAGACTAAATTGAAATCGGGTGAAGTTTGATTGTTGATAAGGCCACAAACCAATAGCAAGTAGAAGAATTTTATTCAGACTAAAGTACTCAGCTTTAATGTTGTTCATTTCTTTGCAAAGTCTGATATGTAAAGTGCCGATAAGAATTACTCTTACCTCTTCCTTTTTCCATCGATCGATCAACTATTATTTACTTATCTCCTCTGGTATAAATTTCAGCACAAATTACGTAATTTCACATAATACAAGACGGTATAAGATGTTACCCTTAAATTAGAATATTTGCATTTTCTTAACAGTGTGTTTAAATAAAGACTCTAATTGTGCAATCGATATAATAAGGGAGCAAATTAAGCAAATGTCTTTTTCTCATAAAAAAAGAATAAAAAATATTTGTTGAGATGACTATCGCGGACGCGTAATCGTCACTTTTTAATAGACCACAATTTCATGTTTCAGATTATATTGCGCATTCACAACATACGCTTACGTTTGGAGAGGAATGTTCAATTTTGAGCTTTTCGTCTCTCTATTAAAGCTCGTGTTATTTTTTAAAACAAATTAATAATAGATTTGTATATGGAATAATTGGTACGATTAAGATATTGATAAGATTCTGATTAAGATATTCTAGAAGCTGAAAATATCAATCTCATGAAGTGGTCATTTGCAATATCATTTTCCAGATGTACTCTTGCTTTTTTATAAACTTCCTTTTACAACATAAATGTTAATATGTCAAAGTTCTTTTAATATATTTGATTTCAAATTAAAAATTATTTTATTGAGTGTTCGTCTGTATATTTTATTATAGTGATAAACACAATGAAATATTAAAAAATATGATATTATACTTATTTTAATGAGATATCATGATTGAAGGTAATATAAACTAATTAAATATTTATTATACTTTATTGTATAATAAATATTGATATACGTTATATTCAATTCCAATTTGTTGTATATAATGCACAATGATATCTGGAATTAAATAATTTTATTGCTTTATCTGCTATGCATGTGAAAACCTTCCATTCTAAATTGTATGTTAAAAATAAAAATTTGTATCTTTTTAATACGTGATATGTGAACTACATTATTTCTTTATTCCAATTGCATTCCGTCTTACCGATTTTATTTATTTCAAATCATTATAATTTCGTCATCGTGTAGAATATATAACTGTAAAATAAGATACGGAAGTCTTCGCTAGCTAGAATCCAATATAAGTATCATTTTTATAACCATTTACTATTTAATGTATTTATCATTTTTATCATATATGTAAACTTTAAATATATTTTATTATCTTCTTTCTCATACCGTAGCAAAACACTCTATAGATGCAACAAAGAGTCCACCGACGCTCAAAGTAAAGTTTTTCGAATCTCTTTGTAACAGAAATAATATGATTTTCTGTATATACAATGGAGCTATATACCATTGAACATTATACCTAGAAAATGAATTATACGTGACAAGGTTCTTGATAAAATCTCTCAAATGCATTGCGAATGGATTTTTATTAATAAATTTCAGCATTATGCGTGTTGTACAGAGTAGGTAAGTACATTTCTTACGCAGTAACAAATATGTGATGATTGTGATTCGTTATAAGTTGACCAATATAATTGGCTAAAAACATGTACATGATAGCGAGAGATGTAAATAGGAAGGGGAATATAAGTTCCTCATCAAATGAAGCAATCTAAAAAATTTACAATTAATTTGACGTTTCACACTGATAACACAAATTAAAAATTAATTTTTATTAATTTTATAAATTAATTTTTAAATAAAAGTAACAGAATTTTTCAATTTTTAACGTTAACGCTTATGATTTTGTGCTGTACCACTTTATAATTTCGAAAAATATGAACAAAGAGTCGCAAAAGAGATGTGTTATTAACGTAATAAAAAAAATAATAGACTCGAGTTGTTGCATATCAAAAATAATTGAGGAAAATAATGACTGTCTCTTTCGTGTTTTTTTATTTCGTTAATATTTGCGGTAATTAATAAAGAAATAAATAATAATAAATAATAATAAAATCACGTAATATAGTGAAATACCGGATTTTGTACATTATAAGTATTAAAAGATCGTTCCAATAATACATTTAACAATAAAATAAAAAACTTACGCGAAACAGATTGAGGCTCACCGAGATTACTCCAAATGCTATTAAACAGCTCATCATTTTTTCACAACTATATTGAACGTGTTTTGATAATCTTCAAAATGAAAATTTAATATAATATGCCTATATAAAACACACACGTATGTTATCAAGTATATACAAACTTCATAGCTTTTCGATGAATATCCACAGCATAAATTAAACCCCTAAATATTAAAATGCTTTTTCTAAGATTGATATTTCGTAACATGTCGATGCTCATTGCACGTTCGATACGATAACTATAAATAATGTTTCTGTTGTAATACTGTTATTATACCAAAGCATTTATAAAATTAAACATTATTTTCGGCAAAATTTAAATTGCTTTCGATTCCCGATTCAGCGACTTCGCCCCGATATTTTTCCTGTCTATATCTCTCCAGGGGGGTAAAAGGGGTTGTTATAGAAGTCTCAAACCAAGAGAATCTATAACCTGGCATATGTGCATATGTCTTAAAAAAATTTTTTCGCGAACAATTAATGTTCGTAAAAATTTACGCATTGCCATCCGCGTTTATGGGCTCTTAGTGCTCGATACTAAATTATTATGTTGTTTAAAATACATAAAGCCGAATTATATACCAATTTATTAAATTGCTTTGTTTGAAAATAACACATTATCCAAATCTTTATTATTATTTATGCATTTATGCAAATACCTGGCAATTTTAAACATTCCACAAACATGTTGAAGGTACGTAAACAATATTGTTCCTATCGCCAATGCAGCAATTCCTCCGATGCAAAATGATACAATGGCGTGCAGTAGTATCAAATAAAAGTATTTTTCTTGGTCGATCAAATACTCTGTTTTGATAAGTAAGTGATGTGCTCTCGATGTGTTTGTTGGTAAAATAATGTTCAAAATATTCGACCAAAATGATGCAACGATAAAAGCTATTGTACTGATAGCGGCAAGTACTAAGAAAGTGTTGAAAAGAAAATTGTTATTTAAATTTTTACGTAAATTGATTTATACATTATTTGATTTATATAATTAGTTCCATATGTATGTTTGAGAAAATATTTACAATGGAATATAAATTAATGGAATATAAATACATATATATAATTATGTGTATCGATGCGCCCGCGCTTCGTTGCTAATTGTCGTTTTTTCCAATAAATATATTATTTATTTCTGTACTCGCTTGTCTAATCGCACCTGCTAATTTCCCGCTATATACCTGTTATCTCGCTCGCAACCATACATGCTCGCACGCTCTCTCGCTCGCACGCTCGCTTTCTCGCTTGCTCTCACCGCTTTGCGCTTGCTGTCTCTCTCTCTCTCTCGCTCTGTCCAAATATTCCCAAATTTTCGCAGTCGTGCCCCACCTGAGTGTGTTGCCAGGTAGGGGATGTCCGGCCGGGTATAAAAGTCGGCACGACTAGGGCATCGAGGACAGATCCTGACCAGATCTCGCCGAGGTGCTCCTCGGCTCGACCGAGTGCTCCCAGTGTCGGTCATCCCATCCCGGACGAGGTGTTTCTCGATTTACCGGGTGTCTCCGGCTTCCCGAAGCCGCTTCTGGTCGAGGTGTCTCTCGACTCCCGCCGAGTAATTCCGGCTCCTGTACCAGTCCCGGTCGAGGCGTTCCTCGATCCATCGGATGTCTCCGGTTTTTCCGGCTCCAGTCCAAGACGACTTGTCGTCCGATCTACCGGGTAACTCCGGTTCTCCTGTACGCAATCTCATTGTCAGTCGAGGCAAACGCCTGACTGCACGGGGTGTCGCCGGCAACTCTGCGCCGTACTGATAAACCAGCCTCGTCGAGGGTCCAACCCTAGTCCTAGGTTCCGTGTCCGTCACGAATACCCGTCTCGTTTCCGTAGATTAAGTCCGCGTTTCCGTGATCGTCCGATACTAGTTTTCTCGTGCGCCCGTTGTATATTTCTTACCCGCGCAAGACCTATCGTTCCGATTCGTACACCGGATATTATTTTTCCTAGTTAATTACAAACATGCCGACATTCATACTTTAACATACACACATCGACATTTATACTTCCACATACACACCCTGTACATAATACATTTATTCAATAAACTCGCATCTAGTTTTAAGAAAATGTTCGCACAAGCTGATTTATTTCCTCCCCTTCACTCGAATCCTGGCTACCCGGCGAGCCATTCCGGAGCGTCGAGAAAGGTGGACCGTTTCATATATATAAAATATATCCATGTATATTACCATTTTCTTGTGTAATATCATATACATATAAAGATTGGTAAAAGATGAAAAGATGCCGAAGGTAGACAAAGAATGAATGATAAAATGAGGAAGAGTGAGGATGAAGAATGGAGATACAATAAGAATTGTAAACAATAATGAAAATCTTTTAGGGATGAAAAAGGGTAAATAAGATATAGAAATGAAAGATGTTTTAAGAAAAAGTTGCATATGCGAAGAAATTAGTTATAAATAAGTTATAAATTAAATAATAATAATTATAAGATAAAAGTTAAAATAAAATATATTAAGATAAAATAAAATAAGATAAATTAAGTAAAATAAGTTATTGTAAACGCACACACGTGAAGAAAAAAACTGAAAGAAAAATTTACAGTTTCTATAATTTCAAGGAAAATCAGCAATAAATTCATGTAGTCAAAAAATTGAAATTTCGAAATCTATTGAAATGTCGAAATCAATTTTCCAATATTTTGAAATAAAATATTGATAGTTTTTATTAAGAATAAAATGTAAAATATTTGCAAATAAAAAAGAATAATCTTACCTGTAATTGCAATGGTAAAACGTTTGCCATTATATCCATATTTGTGTATAATAGCAATTTCATTTTCATCTTTTATTTCATTATATACATGCAGTAATTGCTCCAATAGATCCTTCATCTATTGTTTTAGTAAATTTATATTTTATCGATTTTTGTATATAACAACGCCAAAAAGCAGCGTAAAAATTTATTCGAGATAAGAATGTTTATTGGAGAAATAAATTATCTATTTATGAAGTTACCAAATGCATAAGTCTCCAAATCTGTAAGTTATCAACTTACAGCTTTAACACAGAACATGTTGTATTTTATCACACACATAGCAAAGACGAATACGGAAGATAGAACTTTTATAATGAAATCCGGAGTACATCTTTGTGAAAGAAACATCGTACACTGCAAACAATAATTTTATTTATAAGTTTATATTAAAAAGATTATTTTTCTAAATGCGCGCATGTACAGACACATAGGTGACGTCACAAATACACGATATATTTTATATTATAAAATCTTTCTTAAAAAATTGATAATGTAATATATAATAGAATTTTGTTAATAAGAATTCTATTATAATAAAAATATTTAAGAAAATAAATTTGAACTATGAGCAAAAAGTTATAATTTATATACAATTATAATATAATTACATAATATAATAATTTCATGCTAATTTAAATTGTCATATTGAAATTTTATAAATATAAAAAAATATATTGCCTGGCAATAATTTATCACGTGATAATATTGTTATAATTTATTATTAGAACTTACCTGAAATATAAGGTATGTCGTCAAAATACTAGATAAGAAAATAAATTGAAGTCGAGCTAGGTGTGATTGTTTATAAGGCCATAAACCAACAGCGAGCAGAAGAATTTTATGCAGATTAAAATACTGAGTCTCGATGTTGATCATTTCTATGGGAGAACCGAGACGTATATGACTGATAAAGTAACTGCGAAGAATTACTTTTACCCCTTCTTCTTCCTATTGATCGATCAACTATTATTTATTTTTCTCCTCTAGTGTAAATTTTAGCACAAATTACTTAATTTCGTATAATACGAAACAATGACGTAAGATATTACCTTGAGATCAGAATATTCGTATTTTCTGAACAGTTTTTCATATAGTCTTTAATTACGCGATCGATAAGAAAAAATATTTGAAGAGACAAAATTAAGCGAATGTCTTTTTCCCATAAGAAAAGAATAACAAATATTTGTCGAGATGATTATTGATGCGAAAATCGCGCACGCGTAATCGCCATCTTTTTTATAGACCACAATTTCATGTTTCAGTTTGTATTGCGCATTCATAACATACGCTTGCTTTTGGAGAGGAATGTTCAATTTTGAGATTTCCGGATCTTCCTATAAAAGCGCTCGTGTTATTTTTTAAAATTAATTGATAATATATCTGTATACGGAATTTTTTAATTTTGAGTTAATAATTGACGCGAGTAAAATATTCGCGAGATAAGATTATGATCAAGATTCCACAAGCTAAATATATCAATATCGTGAAATGGTCATTGGCATATCATTTTTCAGATGTATTCTTGCTTTTTTTAAATTTTCTAATTTTACAACATATATGTTAATTATTAAAATTAAAAAATTTTAAATATACATATTACATAAAATATCGATGATGAGATATACTATATATTATAGACTTCTTACTATTTCCTCTATTAATTTTTTCTCTATTGATAAATTTTTTTTTTTATATATGATTTTAACATGTTGAAATATACATAATTTGATTCACAGTAATCGAGTGTTAATATACAACGGCAATTTAATGAATACGGTAAGAAAACTCATTATGAGAGTACATCTAATTCACATAAAATATAAATTTGTGTACGTATGTATGTCAAAGTTCTTTTTAATATATTTTGCTTTCAATTAAAAATTATTTTAATGGGTGTTCATCTGTTTATTAAAATGATAAGCCACAATGAAATATTACAAAATATTATATTATTCTTGTTTTATTGATATTATAATTGAAGATAATATATGAACTAATTAAATATTTATTATACTTTATTCAACATAATATACATTTTATATTCAATTCCAATTGGTTGTATATAACGCAATGATATCTGGAATTAAATAATTTTATTGCTTTATTTGCTATGCATGAGAAAATTTTTAATTTTAAATTGCATGTTAAAAATAGAAGTCTTTTAAATACATGATATATGAGAACATGATATATGAGAATATGCCTTTTTAATACATGATATATGAGAACTATATTATCTTTTATTAAAATTGCCTTCCGTTTTACTGATTTTATTTACTTTAAATCATTATAATTTCGTCATTGTATGGAATATATAACTGTAAAATAGGATACAGAGGTCTTCGCTAGCTAGAATCCAATATATAATTATCATTTTTATAACCATTTATAATTTAATGTATTTATTTACTATTTAATGTATCTCATTTTTTTCATATATGTAAACTTTAAATATATTTTATTATCTTTTTTCTCATACCGTAGCAAAACACTCTACAGATGCAACAAACAGTTTACCGATGGTCAAAGTAAAATTTTTCGAGTTTCTTTGTAACAGAAATAATATTATTTTCTGTATATGCAATGGAGCTATGTACCATTGAACATTATATCTAGAAAATGAATTATAAGTGACAAGGCCATTGATAAAATCTCTCGAATACATCGAAATCGGTTATCATTAATAAATTTCATCACTATGCGTGTTGTGCAAAATAGGTATATGCATTTCTTACGCAGTAACAAATACATGATGATTGTGATTCGTTATAAGTTGACCAATATAATTGGCTAAAAACATGTACATGATAATGAGAATTGTAAATAGGAAGGGCAATATAAATTTCTCTTCACACGAAGCAAGCTGAAAAGTTTAGAATTAATTTGACGCTTCACGTTGATAACACAGTTTAAAATTTTACAAACAAAGGACAGAGGATTTTTCAATTTTTGACGTTCTTAATGCTAACTACGCTTATGGTTTTGCGCTACCACGTTATAATTTCGAAAAATTTGAACAAAGAGTTGCAAAAGAGATGTGTTATTAACATAATAAAAAAAATAATAGACGAGTTGTTGCATATCAAAAATAATTGAGGAATATGATGATTGTCTCTTTCGTATGTTTTTATTTTGTTGATATTTGCGGTAGTTAATGAAGAAATAAATAATAATAAATAATAATAAAATCACGTAATATAGTGAAATAGACGTATTTTGTATATTTAGAGTATCAAAAGATCGTTTCAATAGAACATTTAACAAAAGAATAAAAAACTTACTCGGAACAGATTGAGGCTCACCGATGTTACTAGGAATGCTACTAAACAGCTCATCATTTTTTCATAACTATATTGCACGTGTTTTGATAATCTTCAAAATAAAAATTTATTATAATGTTTTATGCCTGTTTAACGCACGTAAATTATCAAGTTTATACAAACTTCATAGCTTGTCGATGAATATCCACAGCGCAAATTAAACCCTTGAATATTAACATGTGTTTTCTAAGACTCATATTTCGTAACATGTCGATGCTCATTGCACGTTCGATACGATAACTATAAATAATATTTCTGTTGTAATACTGTTATTATACCCACGCATTTATAAAACTGTACATTATTTTCGGCTAAATTTAAATTGCTTTGTTTGAAAATAACAAATTATCCGAATCTTTATTGTCATTTTTGCATTTATACCAATACCTGGCAATTTTAAACATTCCACAAACATGTTGAAGATACGTAAACAATATTGTTCCTATCGCTAATGCAGAAATTACACCGATGCAAAATGATACAATGGTGTGCAGTAATATCAAATAGAAGTATTTTTCTTGATCGATGAAATACTCTGTCATAATAACTAAGTGATGTGCTCTTGATGTGTTTGTCGGTAAAATAATGTTCAAAATATCCGACCAAAATGATGCAAGAATAAAAGTCATTGTACTGATAGCGGCAAGTACTAAGAAAATGTTCAAAAGAGAATTGTTATTAAATTTCTATGTAAATTTGTGTATACATTATTTTACATTTATTTCCATATGTGTGTTCGAGAAAATATCTCTACATAATCGAATATAAATAAAAGTATATAATTATGTATTAAATATATCCATGTATATTATCTTTTTTGTGTGACTACTTTAGAAAAAGAAACCAGGGTCAAATCTATTTGGCCTTGCCATATGTTGTCAAGGTTACTGTTCTGAGTAACATTCAAGAGATTTTATCCATCGCACCTTGTTTATTAAAAAATTATTAACAAAATAATTTTCACGAATTATAACATGCAACGTGCGACTATATGAATTCCTAAGCAACATTGATTTGATTTTTAAAAAAGGTTATTTTATCTTTCTATGCAAAGCGAGATGAACCCCACACTTCTGAGTCAGCGCAAGACGAGGTCTATTGTATGGTTCCACCTTTGCAACTTTCCATGCAAAGCGAGGAACCATAATTTCGCACTGACTCAGAGGTGTAGGGTAGACTTCGTTACGCATGGAAAATTGCAAACCCATGTAGAATTATACAATAATAGACCTCGTTGCGCGTTGACCAAAGATAGTGTGGGGTGCACCTCGCTTTGTATAGAAAGTTAAAATAACTTTACTCTTCTTAAAAGTCAAATCAACATTGTTTAAGAATTCGTATATTCATATATTGTATATATGCTTTTGTTAATAACTTTTTTAATAATCAACAATCGACGACTAAAATCTTTTGAACGTTACTCAGGACAGTGACCTTGATAACATATGTCAAGATCAAAACGATTCGACCGATATTTTTTTTTAGTTTTACCTCTTTTTAGGTGGAATCTTTGTTTATATTTTATTGAAAGCTATTTATAACTGATTACATACATATAGAGATAAGTAAAAGATGAATAGGTGACAAAGGTAGACAAAGAATGAACTGGAGGAAATGAGGAAAAATTAGAATGAAGAATGGAGATACAATAAGAATTGTAAACTATAATGAAAATTTTTTAGGGATGAAAAAGAGAAAGTAAGATATAGAAAGATGTTTTATTTGTAAGAGAAAATCGCATACGCGAAGAAATTAGTAAGCTATAAATTAAATGTAATAATAGTTATAAGATAAGAGTTAAAATAAAATATAGAAATATATTAAGAAAAAATAATATCAGATAAGTTATGTAAAATAAATTAGTGTAAACGCGCATACGAGATGAAAATTGAAACAAAAATGTACAGTCTGTAATAAAATTTACAGTTTCTGTAATTCTAAGGAGAATCAGTTATAAATTCATAATAGGAGAGGAATTAGTAATAAATTCATAATAGGAGAATCAGTAATAATTTCATAAATATAATCAAAAAATTGGAATTTTGAAATATATTGGAAAGTCGAAATTAATTTTTCGGTATTTTGAAATAAAATATTAACAGTTCTTGTTAAAGAGAAAATGTTAATTATTTTTAAATGAAAAAGAATAATCTTACTTGTAATTGCAATGGTAAAACGTTTTCCATTATATCCATATTTGTGTATAATAGCAATTTCCTTTTCATCTTTTAATTCGTTATACACATGCAGTAGTTGTTCCAATAGATCCTTCATCTGTTGTTTTAGTAACTTTATATACCGGTTTTTATACATAACAACGCCAGAAAACAGCGTAAAAATTTATTCGATAAGAATGTTTATCCCGTCGGAGGAATAAATTATCAATTTATAAAGTTACCAAGTGCATAAGTCTCCAACTCTGTAAGTTATCAACTTACAGCTTCAACAGCGAACATGTTGTAATTTATCACAAGGAGAGCAAAGAAAAATACGGATGCTAGAACTTTTAGAATGAGGTCCGGAGTACATGTTTGTGAAATAAATATCGTACACTGCAAACAATAATTTTATTTACAAGTTTACATGGAATAATTATTTTTTTATATCTCATACGCGTATATACAGAAACATATATGATGTCACAAATACATGATGTATTTTATATTATGAAGTCTTTCTTAAAAAATTGATAACATAATTTGTAATAGAATTTTATTAATAATAAAAATATTTAAGGAAATGAATTTGAATTATAAGCAATAATTATAATTTATATACAATTATAATATAGTTACATAACATAACTATTTTATGCTAATTTAAATTGTGATATTGACATTTTGGTAATTATACATGAAAAGGATTTACCCCTTCGCACAAATGTGTTACTGATGTATGTTGTGAAGATGTTATCATTGATTAACATTCTGTTTTAGCTGGCGGTCGTTTTTTATTCAAAAGTTATTAACAAATAAATGTGAGAAATATTAAAATCTTTAATATTATGAATATAAAAGATTTTACTTTATTTGTTCACCGATTTGCTTTAGTTTTAAATATGTTATAGAGGAGATTTTCCTGAGTAATTTCGTGTATATATATATATATAAGGGTCGGACTCAAATAATCTTGGAGATATAGACTGAAAAAGGATCAATCACAAAAATAAGGTAAACCTTCGGTATACCTACTTATATGAAATAATGGGTAAGAATATCCAATTTTTGTGTATTCTTACCTTCTGAACACGAATATCAAACTTAAAAATAGCGGGAGTCGAAGAAAAACGCAAAAGGTAAATTAAGGTAAAGAAATAAAAGGTAAACAATTTAAATTTATATAGAATTTAATACAATTTAATACAATTAAAAAATATCACAAATGTATGTGTACACATATACACACATACGCGGGGAGTGCAAAGGGACCTTCGGCTCTCCTTCCTGCAAATTCCATTCCGCCGGTAGGGGATGCAGTAGGGGATTTGCAAAGAATTTAATCACAATGGATATACATATGTAAGTTGTAAAGCAAGATCGAAATGGGAACCGAAGGCCCCCCCTTACACTCGCCGCGCGCGCGCGTGTGTGTGTGTACACATACATTTGTGATATTTTTTAATTGTATTAAATTGTATTAAATTCTATATTAGAATAAAAGAAAATTCTAAATTTACAATGTATTAAATATATTTAAAATTATTATTTTTTTATGTAACTGCTAAAGTGATCCTCCAAGTAATGATTTAAAATAATTATTTTTTATATTACAGCTAAAGTAGTAGGCTTATGAAAAAAAGATATAACCTTTTTTGTAGAGTTTTTCAGCGGCTTTATTTTTTGTTTAAAATTTTTTTCCCAAATCATTGTTTTCGGAGATAAAAAGCATTAAAATTGTGAATTTTTTTTGTTAATAATTTTTTAATAAATAACGTTTGCCGACTAAAAACCTTCAAAATATTAATTAGAGATATGACTTTGACAACATATGTAAATGACATTTGTGCGAAGATAAGCCCTTTTTATGCATAATTACCTAAATTTTATAAATATGAGAAAAAATATATTGCTTTGCAATAATTCATCACGTGATAATATTGTTATGATTTATTATTGGAACTTACCTGAAATATAAGGAATGTCGTCAAAATAGTAGACAGGAAAATAAATTGAAGTCGAGCGAGGTTTGATTGTTTATAAGGCCATAAACCAATAGCGAGCAGAAGAATTTTATGCAGATTAAAATACTCAGTCTCGATGTTGACCATTTCTTTGGGAGAACCGAGACGTATATGACTGATAAAGTAACTGAGAAGAATTACACTTATCCCTTTTTCTTCCCATTGATCGATCAACTATTATTTATTTTTCTCCTCTAGTGTAAATTTTAGCACAAATTACTTAATTTTATATAATGATGATATAAGTAACTATTTTGAGATCAGAATATTCGTATTTTTTTAAGTGTTTTTCATCATATAGTCTCTAATTTCGCAATCGATTTGATAAGGGTGGAAATTGAGCGATTGGCGATTGTCTTCTTTTCCATAGGATAAGAAGAAATAATATTTATTCAGGAAATTATTTATGTGAAAGTCGCGCATGCGTAATCGTCACTTTCTTTGCTGCCACAATTTCATAGTCTTCAGTTTAGTGCACGCATTCATGACATATACTTGCTCCTCGAGAAGTACTTAGTTTTAAGTTTTCTAGTACCAGATTTATTTGTACTAAAGCTCGTATTATTTTTGAAGATGAATTAATCAAAACTGCACTACGACATTTTATAATCTTAAATTAGCGCAATTAACATTTTGACATTCTAGAAGCTAAAAGCAATCAAACCTGTCATGAGGGAATAACATTTATATTCTACTGTAATTATATATACAAATTAATTAATTTTTATTCTCTAAAATAATTTATTTTTTTCGAAATTTACTAAAATCTTGATTATGATCAAAATAGAAAAATTGAAAAATAAATTAATATTTTTAAAAATTTAGGTTTTCTCTTAAAGACGTTTAAGTCTTTTTTATAAGGAAGTGTGTCAATTACAAAAATATCATTTTGATTTCACTTTTCTATGGATACCTAATTTGTGTAACATACATTTTTGTATTCCTTTTATATTATAATTTTATATTAAATTATTAATTTTATATTAAATTATTTTATATAAATTATATTAAATTATATTAAAATTTGTGTAACATATATTCTTTTTATATCATAATATTTGAATGCACCAATATAGGAAAAATGAAAATAGAACACGAAATATTTATACTTGAAGAAAAATATTAAAATATTAAAAGAAATAATTACTTATAAGTATACAATCTAAAATGAAATTGAATTAAAAATACAATAATTAAATTAGAAATATAATAATAAAATTATTAATTATTTAGGACATTTAAAATGAATTTAAATAAAATCAAATATCACACGCAACTCAATAAATTTCTTCGTGAAATGTGTACGATTAAACGATCAATAAAACGCTAAAAATATTACTCAGTAAATGTTCTTTCCCCCTTTTCAGTCTAATGGAAACACGCATGGATGCACTCCTGTATAGTCTTCGAAAAAAATATTCTTCATATTTCGGACATTTTTGAGCGGAATATGATCGGTAAAGTTATATTCGAACTATAGTCGAGTATACAAATTAAGAAGATTTCAAATTAAAAAGAAGAAAATAGGCGATCGGCGCAATAAAAATTCCATTGTTACTATAATAATATTATTTCTTATTAAATATAATTTGTACGTAATTGTATTTTTTTTAATTCAATGTACATACATGTTATTAAAAACTTTAAACTCAAATAATTTACAGGTACTATATATTTAAAAATGTGTCATATTAGATAAAAATAGAAATATGTATTTTGATGATATCATAATTGGAGGTAATATTAAATAATTTAATATTAAGTTTATCATACGTTATTATTTACTTAATGTACACGTTATATTTAATTTCAATTCATTGTATATAACGTATAATGAATATCTTGAAATAAAGTTTGTTTATCCATGTTTTTATATATTGGAAAACCTCCAACTCTAAATTATACATTATGAGTAAATGTTTTTATTTTTCTAGTATATATAACAAACTATATATAACAATAATAAACTATGTATAACAATTATACGAAAATAATGTTGTTTCTTTATTCTAACTGTACTCTTACTTATTGTACTTTTATATAATTCAAACTATTACAATTTCTTTATCGTGTAGAATATATAACTGTAAAATAAGATACTGAGGTCTTCACTAACTAAAATGAAAAATATTATATATATTTATGATTATCATATACATTAAATATGTTAGATATACTTTGTTATATTTAGATATATTTAGATATATTTATAAATATATTTTAAAATATATCATATTGGATATATTTTACTATGTCTTCACTCTCATACCGTAGCGAAGCACTCTATAGATGCGTCAAACAGTCCACCGATATTCAAAGTAAAGTTTCGAGAATTTCTTTGCAACAAAAATAGGATCATTCTTTGTATATACAAGGGAGCAAAGTACCATCGCACATTATACCTAGAAATTAAATTGTAAAAACGATGATAAAATATCTGAAATATATCGCGAAATGGTTCTTTAGTAAACTTTAGCATCATGTGTTTGATATGCACATATATTGATTTCTACATTTGTAGAAAATGTAACGGTTTGATTCTTCATGCATGCTATTTTGTAGATACACTTCTTACGCGGTAATAAATACATGTTGATTGTGATTCGTTATAGTTTGTCCGACATAGTTGGCTATGAACATGTACACGATAGTGGCAATTGTAAATAAAATGGGGGTTATCAATTCCTTTACGTTCTTTGTAAATGATGCAATCTGAAAAATCTAAAACGAATTTATTGATGTTTTATATAATTTCATAAAAATGTTATTTATATAATTTCATAAAAAAAAGACTTTATTTAAATGTAAGGAAGGGGATAATTAATTCTTAATGTTTTTAATACTATAGGCGTTTTTTGTTGTATCAATTCATAATTTTGAACATTTAATGTTAGATTTAGAAAAAAATGTTTTATTTATTTTTATTTTTTATTATCTATTTTTAATTTTATGTGTCTTACTGTATTACTTTATGTGATGTATTAGAAAAATTTTGTTGCAGTTAAAATTGAGTATATTGTTGAGACTTTTAACCTTTATAAGAAATATATTATATGATAATTATTTAGCTTAGGGAGGCCACCTCGGATAATCTTGACTTTGACATATGTTGTCAAGGTCACTGTCCTGAGTAACATTCAAAAGGTTTTAGCCGGCACTTGTTTTTTATTTAAAAGTTATTAACAAAAGAATTTCACAATTTTAAAGCTTTTATCTCCGAAAATATTAATTTGAGAAAAAAAATTTTAAGCAAAAAATATAGCCGCTGAAAAACTCTACAAAAAAGGTTGTATCTTTTTTTCATAAGCCTACTACTTTAGCTGTTATATAAAAAAATAATTATTTTAAATCATTACTTGGAGGATCACTTTAATCATTATTTAGCGAATTTTATTTTCAAAAAGACATTCGATGATGAAAACCGATTAGATGCTTTCTTTCGAAAAATATCTCCCATTAAAAATAAATCTTATAAGAAAACCAATAAATTCACGTGAATAAAATAAACAAAATTTTAAATTTTGAAATCTTCTGCATTGATTTTACTAGTTGAATTTAAAATTTTCTAATTTGAATAAACATTGAAAAACATTTGGTAGATCTTCAGTTTGAAAATTATATTATCAATTAAATAGAAGATTTTGACTGTACTTAAAAAAAATATTTTGTCACGTAATAATAAAGCCAATTTATATAAATATACTGCCATCAATATAAAGCCATTAATATGAATATACTGCCGTATATTTTCATATGGAAGTTATAGAGCACTTGCTTAAAGAATAGATTTTGAAAAATAGAAAACTTACTCGAAACAAATTAAGGCTCACCGAGACTACTCCAACTACTATTAAACAAAACATCATTGCTTCAAAACTGGATATAAAGTGTTGGGACAATCTTTAAAAATAATAATTTGTTACTGCTTCTCTCTCTCTCTCTTTCTTTCCCTCTTTCTCTACACATACATACACATATCTCTCTCTCTCTTTCTTTCCCTCTTTCTCTACACATACATACTCTACACATATACATATACACATGTGCATACGTGTGCACTCACACATTTATATATATAAATATATCAACCTCATAGCTTGTTGGTGAATATCCACAGCACAAATTAAATCCTTGAATATCAAAATGTTTTTTTGTTTAATATTTTGTAACATATCAACGTTCATTGCACGTTTGATACGGTAACTATAAATAATATTTTAATATATTTATGAAAATTTACCAAATAAAAGCATTTATTCTGTTAAATCTAATGGTTAATTTTGTTTAAATATTGAAAATAGCAAATTATATTAATTATTATAGCATATTTATGTTTACCTGGCAATTTTAAACATTCCACTAGTGTATTGAAAATACATAATAAGTATTGTTCCTGTCGCTAACATTGCAATTGTCCCGATGCAAACTGATGCAATATTATGCAACAGAATAAAATAAAAATATTTCTCTTGATCAATAAAATATTCTGTCATAATCAACAAATGATGTGATCTTGATGCGTTTGTCGATAAAATAATGTTCAAAATATTCGACCAAAATGATGCAGTGATAAAAGCTATTATGCTGACAACGGCAAGTACTAAAAAAATTAGAGAAAAATAAATTTATTATTTAATTTTTTCTCACTTGTATATATGAGATTTTTAAATTGACTTATATTATTTCATATTCATGTATATAAATATACATTCATGAATACAATAATAAGAATAATTGAAACTTTAATATTTTCAGTTAATTAATCTGTGGTCGATTTTTATCTTGCATTTAATTGTTAACTTTTCTATTATTTCCAAGATTTAAAAACATGTGTCTTGGATTATTATGTACACAGGGAAATTATTGTATCTTCTCGAAATTTTACAAAAGCGAAATTTTGATAATTTTTGCGTATTAGGAAAAAAGTGTAACTGTACAAATAATTTTAAAAAAATGTTCTTACCTGTAAGTGCTATTGTATAACATTTGCTATTATATTTACATTCATTTATAATAGCAATTTCATTTTCGTCTTTTAATTCATTACATACATACAATAGTTGTTCTAATAAATTCTTTACCTATTTTAGCAATTTTATATTATTTTTTGTACAATATATAATATCAAAAAATATTGCGGATA